CACACACACACACATGCACACACACGCACGCACACACGCACACACACAATCCCTCTGCAGTTTTGGGGAGATCAGCTGCAGGATTTTAACAGGAATGTGTTGGTCATTTGCATTTGCACTTTCATGGACAACTTTTAATTTGATCAGCAAGACATCTTGGAACTCAATCTTCTGTTGGATCATGGGAAAACAAGACACCACGAGGCATTGAAAGAGGCTTCCTCTTCTTAGGAAGAAGCCGGTTTCCTTCTCATATAGGGCTGTATTCAAACATCGTGTGGAACTGTACAAATATTTATACCAAAAATATAGACAAGCAAAGGTGGGGATGCACTAGCAACAACAACAACAACAAAAAGAATGCTGCTCCTGCACCTGTCAGTTACTTCCAAGAAGCTGAATCTTTGGGATTGATTCTCAGTGGAGGGCGTAGATCATACAAATCTTTATTGGGTCCGTGTGTTCTCATTTCCTTCACTGATCTTATTTTATTTTAATTTGTGTTTGTTTTAATCTCTACAGCACACTTAATGCAACTTTTAAAATCTGCAGGTTTTTAATGTCTTGTGGAAATTTGCAGAGGGGCGGGTGCGTGGTAAACGGGTAATGCATGGGAACTAATGAGAAACAGCTTATGGACCTTAAATTTATTTTCTTGTCCCCACCACCTCCCAAGAACCTGCGAATATAGCGATCATCTTGTCCCTTTTGTCATGCTCAGCACTTTAATTTTTGGGCCTTACTTTCATGTGCAATGAGATTTACTTAGAGAATTGGTACAGCATGGAGCTTTTTTTAGTAACCTTGGAAACTGTAGTCATTCTAAGGAATCATAAACCTTGCCTGGACATTTGCCACCTAAAAGATCAGTGTGGTGCTGCGTTCTGGCCAGTAAATTCCATATTTTTGGCTATAATCTCATCCAAACAGAGCAGTTTCTGTGTATATATAGAAGGTAGAAACGGAAAGTGAGAAAATATTTGAAAGGGATTATATTAATTGCTAAATATTTTATTCACAAAGGTCAATAACATGGCAAGATAAAATTATTTGTATAGTTTTGTCTGAACGAGCGAGAAAAATGTGGATGTATTGTTTGTATATATTGTATATATTAAAACAAAGAGATATGTGCATGAAATCAAGAAAAAAGAAATGAACAAAAGCAAAGCATTAGTGGCTATGGTCTGTAAAATGAAACAAAAAAACTTTATTTCACTATAAGAGTACTTTATTTTAAATGTTCTTTAGAAGAACATTTTGCTAAAGCATGACTAAACTGCAAAAAAACAAAAAACAAAAAAAAGAGCTACTGTATTTAGACTTAGGATAAAAGGCAGAGTAACATTACTTTAAAAAAAAAAGGATATGTTTACATTTAATTTTGGCTACCAGGAGTTTATTTTCTTTAATTTAAAATTTTTTTGCCAATGGTGCCAAGTAATGTGAATGCTAATATTGCTTAAAAAATTAAGTTACTTTTGCTAAACAGATAATCATAAGATGAATCCGTATATAGCTTAACACCATCCACTCACTCCAACAAAAGAACACTTAGAACGATCAAAATCTGACAAAAGAAATAGTGTGAAAAGTAGGAAAACGTCTGACGTTTTCATATCTCCTGCTGGAAATCAGAAAATGTAACAAAAAATGCACAAAAAATAACTAAAAATTTAAAAGATGCAAACTGGTCTCGTAGGGTTGTCATGGTCTATTACTCTTTCCATATAATGAGGAGCCAAAGAAATCTGATGCTTTTAAAAATTAAACTACTAACGTTAAATTGAGAGAATAAAGCTCGCATTTGCTGATGCCAGTTTAAAATTCCCAGGTTAAGTTTCAGGATCAGTTGGTGTAAAGCTGAGATAAGAGTTTTTTTTTTTTTCTTGGTTCTGGCTGCCAACTGTAAGTTAAAACTCAAGGCTTGTTGTGAAGCCTAAAAATATTCACAAATAAGCTTTTAAACTGGTGTCTTTAGAAGGAAGGTAGATACAAAAAGATTGTGGTAAAAACTGGGGTCAGTGCTTTTGGTGCCTTTTCTATAATTGTACTTGTTTTTTAATTACTTCCTTTCACTGCCAACCTTGGATTACTGTACAGTATATGTCTTACCGCTTGTGATCAGCTTTGACAACAGTGACAGCCCCACAACTAGTAGCCACCTGTACATTTGTAAACTGACCTGGCTCGATTTTGTTTTTAAATGTGTGGGTTATGTTGCAGCTGTTGCACTCCCCTCAAATACCTATTATTTTACACAATTTGACCTATAGGAGGACACTGAGTAATTTACAAACACCCAACTGTATTCGTAAATGGGAATAGGAAGGTGAAAGCCAGCTCTTTCAGAATATCCCACATTAGTACCGAATTTAGACATGTTTATTCCATTTATTATGGTACAAATAACTGATCTTTTGACAAGAGTAATGACCTCAGTGGATTTGCTTTAACCCTCACATTTATTTCTTCATTTATTTTTTTAATGTCTCCCATGCTACATTATTAGCTGAGTAAGTTAGAAACTTCTGGAAGATAAAGAGTCATGTAGAATTAGGAGGGTTCTTAATGGAGGGGATAGAAAGTAGGTTCGAAACCTACCGGTGTAGCCTACCAGTACAACTGTGAATCCTAGGTGAGGTACAAATGCACTTCCACTGAAATGAAGCATTTCTGACCGCTTTTTCTTGGTTGTGAATCTTAATTTTGAATATAAGATGATAGGTAAGCGCAGCTTTCTTGGATAATCTGAATTCCCAAGTGCCAGGAGTAGGATTTCATTATAAAATTAATAGCTAATCTTATTCTGTCTCCTGAAGATTTAATTGCTATTCTTGTTACCCATTTGAAATCAGCTGTACTGTGTGAACGAAATAAAGACAATAACTCGAACCCCTCTCTGGCTGCACGGTCGCTTATGGCAGTTCCACACAGTAGTTGGCGCCCAATGGGGGGTCCCTGAGACTTGCATGTAAAACTAGTCTAGATGTCTTCTTTTTTGTAAGTTTTATTTTTGTAATTGTGCATGTAAAGCATCATTGAATCAATGGATCTGTTGAAGAACTCAGCTGCTGGAAACCATGCAAAATGTTTTGAATTGCCCTTAAAATATGGAAAATGTTTTCTGAATGCTTTATATTCTTTCTGCTGTAAATTAAAAATGAAGAAAATTTCCCCATACTATGTGTGTGCTTTGCTTTAACTTGACCTGACACTGAAATCCAGGGTGACCAGCAGGTTTCAAACCCTTAGGAGATGATTTCACGTATTTCCTTAGATCCAGAGGCAATGTCTTGGCATTGACTGTTACAGAGTTTCAGACATGTCCATGAAAGAAAAACTTAGGAAGCCACTGTCCCCTAGAACATTTGCTTTTTAACTGTCTTCTCAGGCACCTCTCAACGTACCAGCTACTTGAAACACAAAGACACCAATCTGAATTCACCACTGCCACTAAAAACCTCTGCTGTTCTCTATTAAGATCCATCTTCTCTTCTGAGAATTCTGTCATTATCTGCTTTCCTTCCACTGCAGAGCATCACCCTTTCTCCCTGGTAGCGGGTGGGAGTGCTACTGCCAAATCCCCTGTAGGGTCTCCCCCAGCTCCCTGCCCTGTGGCTTCCAGAGCCCGTTGCATTTAAATTTTTTTTAATTTTTATTTATTTATGATAGTCACACACACACACACACACACACAGAGAGAGAGAGAGAGAAAGGCAGAGACACAGGCATAGGGAGAAGCAGGCTCCATGCACCGGAGCCCGACGTGGGACTCGATCCCGGCTCTCCAGGATCGCGCCCTGGGCCAAAGGCAGGCGCCAAACCGCTGCGCCACCCAGGGAATCCCAGCCCGTTGCATTTAAATGATAGTTTCCTTTCTTGTCTATCCTCACTCCTTACTCTTATTTCCACCTGTGCCCCAGCCTGCCCCTTCTGGTTGGGCGGTTGCAAACCATGCCCATTTCCACTGTTGCCTTTGTTCATGTTTGTTCATCCCTTGCCTGGAAAGTTCTCTTCTTATCTACTTACCCAACTCAAATCCCACCTCCTCGGTGACACTCTTATTTACTCTAATACACACCGACATTCCCCTTTTCAAATTATTACATTGACAGTCGGAAAAGACAGTTCAGTATTTAAGTTTTTGTTTTTTGTTTGTTTGTCTTTTTTTTTTTTTTTTTCATTTCTCGTCTCATCTGCCGGTTGACCTGGCAGTGTTCTGGGTGTTTAAGGTAGGCGTCCTCTACGTTAGGAATACTTCCAGGAACAACTTTCAGTACGTTGCAAAGAACCTCGCTGCATTCGGGTTTGGGCCCCCGCCTACGGCCCCGACCAGAAGCTGAGGACCTGCTCTGCAGGGCCCGGGAATACAGAAAGGTGGAGAGTAGGGAAGCCCCGGGGGGCCCAGGGCGTGATCCTGGAGTCCCGGGATCGAGTCCCACGTCGGGCTCCCAGCATGGAGCCTGCTTCTCCCTCTGCCTGTGTCTCTCATGAATAAATAAAATCTTAAAAAAAAAAAAAAAAAGCGTAAACACAGCTCCTCCCGTGCAGGCTCCCGTCCCCAGATCCTCATACAGTGTGCACGACAACCGAGCACACGAGGCGAGGGTGTCTAACCCCATGACGCCCGCGATAAATACCCCAAAGGGCCTTCCTATCTCGACAAGTTTCCCGGGGGAGGGGGGAGCGCGGCGTCCCCAGGACCACTCGGTTCGGGCGGGACGGCCGGCAGCAAGCAGTAGTCTGTCCCCAGGACTGTCACGGCCAAGGGAATGGCCTCCGGGCCCAGGACAAACTACCAGCCCCCGCCCTCTATTCCCTGCACTCTCCCTGCACAGGCCTAACGCGCCGCGTCCCTCAGAGTCGCAAAAGCCGCTGCGGGCAGAGCGCGCCCGGCACCACCGAGCCAGAGGCACAGCCCCGCCCCCGGGGGCCACGCCCCCGCTGGGCCACGCCCCCGCTGGGCCACGCCCCCTTCCGGCGCGCCCCTCCGCGGCCGCGCCCGGCGACGTCATCGGCCCCGCGCCGCCGCCCCGCCCAGCTCCCGGCCTCCGGTCCCGCTGCGCCGTTCGGCTGACCGTCGCCCGCCGCCGCCAAAATGTGAGTGACGCGGCGAGACGTGGGGCGGCCTCGGACCCCAGGGGGCGGCGGCCCGCGGCTGAGACCCTTCCCCGGCTCGGCTCCCGCCGGCAGCCGCTCGGACGCGGGCCTGCGCAGCGGCTCCCGAGGCCCAGGGGTGGGCGGCGGCCCCGGGGGTGTGCGGGCTGCAGGCGGGCCGACCCAGCCCCGCCGCGCACCCCGCAGCCCGCAGCCCTGCGGCCGTGGGGCTGTCGCGGAAGCGGCGGCGGCGGGGAGCCCCAGGGCTTCCCGGAGCTAGGAGACGCCCCACCCCGACGCCGACCCCACCCCTTCTCCCCTTTCCCTAACTTACCCCGGCCCAGGGTCCCCGAGAGGAGCGGTGGCCACTGCCCTAGACCTGGGAGCGCCTGTCCGCCGCCTGGGGCTGGGCTGGGCTGGGCTGGGCTCCGGAAGTTGCGAGGGAAAGAACCTCGGCCCTGTGCGTACGGGCTCCAGTGCTCAGAGTGGACTCCGGAGCAGAGCCGTGGATCTTCCCTCTTTAAGCAGAGGCCGCCTCGAAGTGGCCCTTGAAACCCCAAGTTTTCCCGCAGTAACATTCAGAGGAAACTGTCAAGAGTCACGAGGACCCTCTAGCCCCCTCCACACTGTTCTTGCTCGTCTACAGAGGAGGAAGGCATGGGTACTTTCCCCGGGTTCCCCCCGGGGACTAGGGTCGCCTCTCCGGAGTGTACCTGCCGCGGCTGCCGTGCCAGTAAATCACAATGGTTAATTAAGGTCTAGATCGGTGGAATTATATGAGACCTGGTCTAAGACAGGTCCACTGCAACCAGCACTGTTGACTTTCTAAATCCCACTTTTGCTTCCAGAAAATGGGGTTAATAGTAGTACACACACACCCCCTCAAAGAGTTGGAAGGACTAAATGAGAAAAATGCTAAATGAAAAAATGTGCCATTGCACGGTTCTTCGCTATTACCTATCAGAGAATAAAAATAAAGTGTAAGGGTAGGCATGGGATCTGCTGCATCCCTGGTCTTTGACATGTGGTAGGTATAAAATAACTTGAATCAGTGGGTGCATCAGTAGCTGTTGTAATCAAGGCCCAGGCTAGGTGCTGTCTTGGGTACAGGGAAGAGACCTGTAAGACACAGGAGTCTGTGATCTATCAGGGAAGGCAAGACATTACAGATGACTCTTGAACAATATGGGTTTGAACTGTGCAGGTCCACTTACAGGTGGGTTTTTTCTCCAGTAAATCCAATACAGTAATGTAAACGTATTTTCTCTGTCTTACGATTTTTCTTTTTTTTTAAGATTTTATTTATTTATTCATGAGAGACACAGGCAGAGGGAGAAGCAGGCTCCATGCAGGGAGCCCGACATGGGACTCGTTCCCGGGTCTCCAGGATCAGCCCTGGGCTGAAGGCGGCGCTAAACTGCTGAGCCACCCGGGCTGCCTGTGTCTTCCAATTTTCTAAACATTTTCTCCTCTAGCTTACTTTACTGTAAGAACACAGTGTATAATACATATAATATACAAAATACTTGTTAATCGACTGTTTATGCTATTGGTAAGGCCTTTGGTCAGCAGTAGGCTATTAGTAGTTAAATTTTGGGAGGAGTCAAAAGTTATTTGCAGATTTTCAACCATGGGGAGGGGTCGGCGTCGGCACCCCAAACACCCCACCTTGTTCAAGGGTCAGCTGTGTGTGTATGTGTGTGTGAAAAATGAAAGCATGACAAACCAAGTAACGGAAGCGATAAGGACTTCAAAGCCACAGTGGTCAAGAAAGATCTGGCTGGAGAGAAATAGGCCTTCAGTTGAGGACTTGAAAAGAGAAGTACCTTTTAAGAGAGGAAGCACTGCTTCATCTCACCTTTCCCACTCACACCACCCCCTCCTCCTTGCCTCTTGATGTTCCTGACCCTGTTTATATAAATGAATATATTTCTCCAAACTGGAAAAGTGGCATTCTGTAATTGTTCATAACCATGAAAACAGTTCTCGCCACAATGAGAGTTCAGGAGAGTACTGAGTGCATTTAAGTAGATGTGTGCATTTAAATAAAAAACTGGAAGGTAGAGTTTCTCTATCTTAGGATCCCTGATCTTAAAATCAGGTGCCTCAGTGATAGAAAGTGATATTAAACCTTCACTTGAGACCCTGCTCACTTTTAACATACGATGAATCCTGGAAATTATAGAGGAATTAGAAGAAATGTCATTAGAACCTTTGTTCCTTACTGTAGGAAGGGTTTCTTTTTCTGCTTAAGTTCTGAACCTTTAAACAGTGAAGTCTTGGGATAATGTCTTCATACTTATAAAAAATGTATCTGGAATCCTAGTTTACTCATGCTTGTGCCTTTACCCGTTTCAGGTCTGCAGGTGCAACCCCAGGGTCAAGTGCTGCCTCTGGCAGCAACCGAAGACTTCAGCAGACACAAAATCAAGTAGATGAGGTATTGCTCTAAAATGTTGAAAACAGTGAATTTTAAACCAACATGGGAACACCATGGAAATAAATCTTTTTAGAAAAAGTATCTTAAAAACATGACTGAAAAGGAAATTTTGGCTGTTTCATAACAAATGAGCTAAGCTTCTGAGAAGTCAGTACCCAAATCATGTATCTAAACCACAAACACTCCTCCCGAGAACATTCTTCCAAGGATCACTTTATAAAATATATTTTGCCACAATTAAAAAAAATTGGAAAGAAAAAAAGAACTAGTTTATAAAATAGGGTAATAGAGTTTTAAGGATTAGGTCTAAAGTTTGTTCAAGCCAAGACTAGTCCCTCCGACCAGATTTTTCATCAAAATGCTTCTTACAGTGTAGCCTGATGTACGGGTTACCAGGCTTGAGCAAGCCTCTAGAACTCAGTTCCAGCTGTCGCCCATTCATGTACATAAGGCACATGCTGGCAAACTGGTCTAGCCCAACAAATCTATACTTGTGGAATTCTTGAACTAGAGAACCCTCACAGCATCTTTTGTTCAGCTCTGTATATGCAGACCCACAATGGAAGACTGTGAGAAATTCAGATTAGTGTTTCTATAGCCCGAAGAGCTACCAATGTCCAACAAAGACATGTTGATCTTTCTGGATTTAGCTGCTTTAAAAAACAGAGTTACGTTTAGGTTAGACTGCATTATTAAATCATTTGGTAATGTTTTGGTCTTATGGATTTGTTTATGAACTGAATTCTGAAAATTTTTACGTTTCCACGGTAAGAAACCCATTCAGATTCCATCGGGGATGAAACTTTTGTTTACTTACAAAATCAAATTGGGTCCTTTTTCCTAACCAAAGGAATTTTAAGGAGAGGTTTTGTTTTGTTTCAATTAAGGTAAAATTTACATAGCATACAATTAGCCATTTTAACTTGTACAGTTCAGTGATATTCGGTGTATTTATAATGTTGTGCAATCATTACCTCTGTCTAGTTTCACTGCTTTTGCATCACCCACGAAGAACACCCTGTACACATATAGTCGTCACTTCCCATTCCCCTTTTCTCCCATTCCTGGTAACCTGTAATCAGCTTTCTGTTTCTATGGATTTGCCTGTTCTGAATGTATCATATACAGGCGATCATACAGTATGTGGCCTTTTGTGTCTGGCTTCTTTCACTCGGCATGTTTCCAGTGTTCATCGGTGTGGTAGCACCTGTCACTACCTCCTTCCTTTTTATGGCTGAATGGTGTTCCATGGTGTGTGTGTACATAATTTGTTTTTCCATTCATGTGTTGCGGGGTTTTTTAGTTTTCCACATTTCAGCTATGATGAGTAATGCTGCTATAAACGTTCATAGACAAATTTCTGTGTGGATGTATGTTTTTATTTCTCTTGGGATATATATATGTATATATATATGTGTATATATATATATATGAGTACTGGATTATATGGTAATTCTGTGTTTTAACTTTTTGAGGAACTATCAGACTTTTCCACAGTGGCTGCTCCAGTCTTCATTCCCTCCAGCAGAGTCCAGGGGCTCTTAGGTCTCCACATCCTCATCAACACTTGTTAGTTTCTGTTTCATCCGACTTTAGCTATCCTCATTAGTAAATATGAAGTATTTCATTGTGGTTTTGGTTTATATTTCCTTAATGACTGGTGGTGTCAATATCTATGCATATGTTCGTTGATTGTTTGTATACATTCTTTGTAAAAATGTCTGTTCAAGTCTATTGCCTGGCTTTTCATTGGGTAGTCTCTCACTTTGTTATTGGGATGTAAGAGTTCTTTATATATTCTGGATATTAAACCTTTTTTAGATAAATGGTTTGCAAATATTTTCTTCCATTCTGTGGATTGTCTTTTCATATCCTTGATAATGTCTTTAGATGCCCAAAAAATTTTAATTTTTATCAAGCTCAATTTATTTTTTTTAAGATTTTATTTATTTGAGAGAGAGAGCTAGAGAAAGAGAGCAGGAGCAGGAACAGGGGTGAGGGGTAGAGAGAGGGGGACAAGCATAGTCCCCCGCTGAGCAGGGGAGCTCAATCCCAGGACCCTGAGATCATGACCTGAGCTGAAAGCTCAACTGAGCCACCCAGGTGCCCCTATTTTTTCTTTTATTGTTCTTGATTTGGTGTCAAATCCATGGCCAAATCTGAAGTTAGAAGGATTTGCTCTTATGTTTTCTGCTAAGAATTTTATAGTTTTTAGCTCTTTTACTTATTAGGTCATTGATCCATGTTGAGTTAATTTTTTTATATAGGGTGTTGTATAAGGGTTCAGCTTCATTCTTTTATATACAGCTGTCCTGTTGTCCTAGCACCATTTGTTGAAGGGACCATCCTTCTCCTCTCAGAATGATCTTAACAGCCTTGTCGAAAATCAATTGGCCATAGATGTTTGGGTTGATTTCTGGATTCTGGATTCTATTCCATTGGTCAGTATGTCTGTCCTTATGCTAGAATCACACTACTATGGTTACTATAGCTTTGTTGTAAGGTTTTGAAATTGAAAAGTCTGAGTCCTCCAACATTTTCTTTTTCAGTATTATTTGGCTATTCAGGCCTCTTGCAATTCCATAAAAATTTAAGGATTGGCTCTTCTGTTTCTAAGAGGGGATGTTAGAGGGGGGAGGACAGTGGAGTTTTAATAGAGATTGTGTTGAATCTGTATATCTGTACATTGGTTTGAGGCACTTTGCAATCTTAACAACAATCTGTGACCATGGAATGTCTTCCCATTTAGCTAGGTTTTAATCTCTTCAATTAAATTTCTTCAATTAATTTATTTCTACAAGCAGTGTCTTGTAGTTTTTAGTGTGCCTTCTTGGTTCAATTTATCCCTGAGGTATTCTTTTGGATGCTATTGTATATGGAATTATTCTTTTTTAATTTCCTTTTCATTTCTCATGTGTGGAATTGTTCTGACTTCTGGGTGTTGGTCTTGTGCCCTAAACCTTTACTGAATGTGTTTATTGACTCTAGTAGTTTGTGGATTCTTGGGGATTTTCCATATATGGAATCATCTGAAAATTGAGGTCATTTTACTTATTTCTTCCCACTTTGGATGTCTTTTATATTTTTCTTGCCTAACTGCTCTGGCCAGAATTTCCAGAACAGTTTTGAACAGCACTAGTAAAAGTGGGCATCTTGGCTTGTTCTTGATCTTAGGGAGAAATGCTCCATCCTTCACTGTTGAGCATGGATGTTAGCTGTGGGTTTTTCCATAAATGCCCTTTATCATGTTAGAGAAGTCCTTCTCTTTCTGATTTGCTGACTGTTTTTATCATGAAAGAGTGAGCCACTCCCTGCCCCATCCTTTCTAAATGAAAGTTTGGCTCAAAGTAATAAAAGTGTTGGCCTGAAAGAAAATATGCCCATCTACTTCACTAAAGGTTTTGTTTGTTCTTCCCTTCCTTTATGAGTAACTTGATGTGATCGTGTTCATTCAGGTGGTGGACATCATGAGAGTCAATGTGGATAAGGTGTTGGAAAGAGATCAGAAGCTCTCAGAGTTAGATGATCGTGCAGACGCGCTACAGGCAGGAGCATCCCAATTTGAAACAAGTGCTGCCAAGTTGAAGAGAAAATATTGGTGGAAGAATTGCAAGGTAATTTTCTTTTAACTGGTTTTTACATCACGTCACCCTCTGTATTCTCAGAGGGTCAACCAAGGCTCCAAGTGTTGGACTTCCCTGAATCTTGGAAGTGAGTTTGACGTGCTGCACATGAATATTTGGATTGACTCGGAGTCAAAAGCACTGACTGCATACCTTTTCGTATCTCCTTAGCTAGGAATGCTTCATCCGTGCCTGACCTCAAGAAGTATATAGAACAGCAATGTCCAAAATCAGTCACAGACATAAGCCCTCTACCCTCTCAAAGCCCTCTACCCTCTCAAAGCCCTGAACGCATACTGGCAGGAGAGGGCTGGGCTTGGTGGTCAGTTGGCATGTGGTTCAGCGAATGGCTCCAGCGTCTCAAGATGGGGGTGCTTGAAAGCTGCGTGCTCCACAGAAGTGCGGGGCTCAGCCCGGCAAGCAGCTGAGCCCAAAACAGATTTCTTACATACACCACAGTCCAAATGTATCTTCCCTCTTCCTGGTAAAGAAGTGATACTTTCTGATACACAGGACAAGCTTTTGTAGCCCTTCCTATGTGAAGAACTTACACAAACAAATGCCTTTCTAGGGACCACCAAAAGCAGATAAATAGCTTCATGGCTTAGTTGAGAACAGTCAATTTAGGCTTTAAAACTTAAGAATTATTTCCAACTGTAGTGTACCTTAATTTCTCTGTCAGTGACTAGAATATTATACCCTTCAGTGAGCACGCTAATGTCTGTGTTTGGAATTGTGAAATGGTCTATGTTTCGTCACAGATGTGGGTGATAGGGATTGTCGTCGTGGTCATCATCATCATCATCATCATCGGTGAGTTCTCCTGCCTAAACTCATTGTTCAAGTCGTCTGTGTGCTCACAGCTAATGGCACGTACAAAAACTCAGAATAAAAGTTCCTGCAGAACTATTAGTTTACTACACAGATTTTTATTTTTTTCAGTAAATTTTTTTTAAGATGTATTTTTTTATTTATTTATGATAGACATAGAGAGAGAGTGAGACAGAGACACAGGCAGAGGGAGAAGCAGGCTCCATGCCGGGAGCCCGACGCAGGACTCAATCCCGGGACTCCAGGATCGCGCCCTGGGCCAAAGGCAGGCGCGAAACTGCTGAGCCACCCAGGGATCTCCTTTTTCAGTAAATGTTTTAAATAGAGTTATTTCGTTAAAATCCGAGGGTTTTTTAAATACAAACATTGATCCTTTGAAGTTAGGGAAAATGTATTCATTTCCACTGACCTCTCTCTGTTTTCATTCTGGGTACATTTTCATCTGATACTTCCTTTTACATGAAACAGTATAGTCTGTTGATTAACAGCATGACCACCTGTTACCCACCATAGAGCCACTACCATCCAGGCATGTGCTTGGGCAAGCAAGTTAACATCCCTGGTCCTCAGTTTCTTCACTTGTAAAGTGGGGATGATAATAGTACCTTCCCCATATGTTTGCTATGAGGACACCACTGGCCAGTGTATGAAAAGTGCATAGGATGGCAGCCAGCATATAGTATTAATAATAGCTGGATAAGTAAATAAATACATAACGCACACAGGTTACATGCACAGAAGTATTATTACTGGTATTATTCCTACTGCTACCATATACGATACTGCAACAGGACGTTGACATCTATAGCCTGGGACATGGGAAGCATTTGCAAAAACAGTTCTTCCCGTCCCTTCTCTCAACAGTATCCTCAGGCACTCTACAGAATGTAGAGAGAAGCCACCAGTAGGAAGTTGGCCAAATGGAATTTCACATTTAGACTACGACATTCAATGTTAATTCTGGGAGAGAGACTAAACTGTTGTTTTTGTGTCTCCCCTGCTTCTCAGTGTGGAATGTTTCCCCGTGAACAACCAGTGTGGCCCCAGCCTGCTGTTCAAGAAATCTCTTCAAGACATTTGACTTAGAACCTGCTATATTCTCGAGCTCGCCTACTGTTCTATCTAAACTGATTATTTTCTGTTTGTTACTGTAAAGTTCAATTTCTAGGAAACGTGCCTTTGTTTTTGTAAGCACTCCAAACTTGAAGTGCAGCTGCCCAGCCCATACCCAGCCCAGTGCCTTCCGAGACTGCTGTGTGGCTGGTGATGAGGATCTCTTAAGTTCCTGAGTGTTGTTAACCTAGAAGTGATGTTGTCTCATTAATTGCCATTAATTCCAGTTAAGGGAATTTGTTCCAAGTTAGCTATCCCTGTCATAGGACATCTTCAGAACCACATTCTTAAACTTAGGTAATCAGATTTCCAGTTTGTGCCTTCCAGAAAGAACACTACTGCCTAACGCAAATCTGTAACAATAACAGATTGTGCCTTATTTTGCTATTTTTCTGATTCCATAGAAGAGAATTCTCTACTGTTTATAAGCACTACTGACTCCTGCGCTGTATTTAAAATAAGATGCAGATAAAGAGTTTTTGCTCTTACGTGAGATATGAAGATGTTTACTTTCTTGTTACTGTTTTGTATCACTTGCTAAAAAATATTATTTTAATCAGAAATAATAGCCTCTTTAAAACATTTTTATAGAACTATGGCTATGACCAAAGTTCCTATTTTGCCAAAAAGTTGAATGCCAGTACAGTGTCCTTAAGTCTGATCCCAACAGAGAAATTCAGAAATGTGACAAATGGAATTAAAAGTGCCCTTCACAATTAAAATGATAAGATTGTGAACTTCTATATCCTACCTAGGCCTTCCTTGCCTGTGGAATACTGTAGGTGGTGCAGCTTGCCTGTGACTCAGCATCTCTCCCAGGGGTTAGAGAAGGTTTAGGCTAGACTCTGAGCATCTCCTACCTAGAGCCCAAGTACTACACTATGGTTCACAGCCTGTCAACTGTGGACTCCAGGAGGTCTATGAGAATTAATGTGAGCAACAGCTTCTGCAGCCTTCGAGTGAGACCATCCTGAACCCGTCATTAACTGGCCCAGTTTCCAGTGACAATAGCCTATTTTTATCCATATTCCACTTTCTAAATGTTTTCTAAATTATGCTTTCAATTGGGCATCGGTCAGGGCTGGATGACTCTTTTCACAGAGGATAGCTAATCAGAAACTCTTCGATGTCATAGATTGCATAAGATGCTGCTTTGGAAATAGCTTTGTCATCTGAGAGACTTGTGTGAGACTTTCATCATCCGGGTGGGTGGCTTAAGGATGGGAATTCAGGTAGGCATGCAGACAGGCAAGGAGATGCTGAGGGAGGAATACAGAGGTGTTACCACTCTGGCCCATTGTTACTGGAGGATTCTAAAATTCTTATTCACATGTTAGCATGTGACTTAGAAAGCAACAACAGTTGGGGGGTACCGGGACACGGGCTTTGTTTAGTATCTGTTCCCCTGGCATCACTGAAACACTGCAATGTTGAAGACATGCCCTGCAGGATGCCCAGCTGTGAGAAGGAAGCAGCAGTCAATGTGGGGCAGGCCATGAGCCCACCCTCCACTCAGGAGCTCTGGCCAGGTCTGACTGAAAACTTGGTGCTCCCTCCTTGCCTCGTGCCTAGCCCCATGTGACCCGCTGGCTCCTGCATTAACCCAGGGGTACCTTGCTTGTATCTGTGCGTTTAGCTGGGAACTTGCCCACTATAATGAACTGAATAAACTGTTTATAAACATAATTCTGGTAGCTGTCTTGATTATAGGAGGATAGCTGCACATGGTCCAAGTCTTAAAAATGGCATTCCTGGGGATCCCTGGGTGGCTCAGTGGTTTAGCGCCTGCCTTTGGCCCAAAGCGTGATCCTGGAGTCCCAGGATTGGGTCCCATATTGGGCTCCCTGCATGGAGCCTACTTCTCCCTCTACCTGTGTCTCTGCCTCTCTCTCTCTTTCTGTGTCTCTCATGAATAAGTAAATAAAAATTTAAAAAATGGCATTCCTTCCTGCTGCCCTGACCTCTCACTTATAAACCCCAAACCCCACTTTCTCTTCCTTCTCACCAGTTCCCTCCCCAAGTACTCATTTCTTAGTCTCCTACATTTCTCCGTACCCTAGTGAACAGAAGCAGACCTTCCCCTCGTGGAAAGTATAGCAGATGAGTGGGGAGCTATCTTTCTCACAACAACCAAAATGTTCAGGCTTTTGAGTTTCTTGAATATATGTTCTTTAAAGAGTAACGTGCAGAGCTGGCCCTATATATCATAGACAGCTGCCTACGTGGCACCTGGGGAAGATAACGTGGATGGGTGAGAGACTTCTCCAAATACATGGCTCTCTTTTTGATTCTGCGTTTCCTTCCCCTTGAATATACTTCCACTCTTAATCTGCCACCCCTAGGGATCAATGTAATATGGGTGGAAATGGCCTTTGCTTATGGTTACAAAAAAAATGTCCGTTTCCTATATAAGTCCTACTGGGAGAAAGGTTGACTTCTTCCCGTTGCCTTGGACTTGGATAGATGGTCACCGCTCTTCTTATCTGGAATGCTATTATGTCCAGGCAAAATATTTACAGTAGAATTGTGCCATTCAGTCCTCGTTTGAGGACTTTTCCTATAAAATTTTGGTGCCATTTTCAAGATTTTGAAGGAAAATCTACAATAAATGGGCTCTTTTCTGCCTCTCCCATAAATGTCAGGATTCCTTAGCCAGCTGAGTCCTCAGCCAATTTCTCTTTCCATTCTACTCACTTTTCCTGGTCATTCTTACCTATTCCCACATCTCTATTCATTAATGTACTGCTGATTCCTGGCCTAATGGACATAAGCCTCTCAAACTCAGCGTGGGCCAAAGAGAATTAAGACACACTCCTCTTCCTACAGTTAATAGTGTATGTTCCAGAGAATGGTCCACTGGACTTGCTGGTATTTTTATTCACCATATATATCACTCAGAATGTTTTGGAGGAGTGCTATAATAGTAAACGTACTCCAAATCTGAAAAGCTCCAAGTTTGTTCCTCACTCATGCTACATGTCCAATGCAACAGGAAGTTTCTAATCGCACTCCCTCAGGGAGAGACTTACTGTAAACATTTGTTTCAGGTTATCACTGTGGCAGGAAGGGAACATCAGGAATTGTGCTCTGGCTCTTGAAGCTGCCAGCTGCGAGAGTCTGCTCACATTTTACTGGCCATGGCAAGTCACATGACCATGCCTAACCTCAGAGGTGGCCAGGAACACATGTCACAGGAAAGAGAAATGCAGGGTTTGTGAACATTTGCCTTCCTGCTGACAATTTCAGTGAAAGAATGGGGCAAATTCGCCTTGGTTCATAAGTACTTTCTAATGAATTGTGCATCTTACATGGCAATTCTATATTTGCATCACTAATAAGATGTTTTTGAAAGTATGGTAATTTTTTAAAAACTGGTTTTGAGTGAGGATTATTTGTTTAAGATTGACTAGGCTGCTTAGTACATTTAAAAATAGCATCCTTGGGGGCACCTGGCTGGCTCAGTCAGTGGAGCATGCAACTCTTGATCTCAGGGTTGTGAGTTTGAGACCTATGTTGTGTATATAGATTACTTAAAAATAAAATCTTAAAAAAATAACATCCTTATTTACAACTGAGTTGCTTTTCACACTAGCAGAAAATTCAATCTGTAAAACTACAATTTACCACATAAACCAGTTATTGCATAATTATTAGAAAATAATGTTTTCTCATCCTTTAAACAGCAAGCTAAGTGCATTTCAAATTCTACTTGTCTGTATACCCTCAAGACCTTAGACAATCCCGTTAACACAAGTGCCTGCCTTAGACAAAGCTCTGGATCTGGAGCCTAACGGAACCCTTACCCTTCCCTCCAGCAATTCCCCCGTTGTCTGCAGAAATTCTTCCTGCTTGTCCCCTCTCCCTCCCTGTTGGGTCATCCCATCAGACCCTAATCGTGGTCCCACCTCCTTCCCTTGCGCAAGCACTTGTCTCCAGCTCCACACAGCAAAATCCCTCTCCACGGCCTCACATTGTGCTTTTCCTTCCCACCAACAGTACTGAGACATCTTTAACCGAGGTCATCATCTTGGTGAAGCATAACAGAAAATTCTCTGTCTTACTCTGAGTATCACCAGCATTTGATACAGTCAATAGCTCTCTCCTTGTAATAGTTTATCTAGATTCCATGATCCAACATTCTGCTTTTCTTTCAACCCCATCTATGGCTCCTTATTCTTTGCTTGGATCTCTGCTCTTCCTCTGAATCTCCCTGCCCCCCACCCCCACCCCATGTCTCAGTCTTGGCCTTTGGCCCTTTTCTGTCTGTATTCTCTTTTTTTATTTTTTTAAAGATTTTATTTATTTATTCATGAGAGACAGAGAGAGAGAGAGAGGCAGAGACACAGGCAGAGGGAGAAGCAGGCTCCATGCAGAGAGCCTGATGTGGGACTCGATCCCAGGTCTTCAGGATCACGCCCTGGGCCAAAGGTGGGTGCTAAACTGCTGAGCCACCCAGGGATCCCTCTGTCTGCATTCCCATGTTGACACCATCTCACCCATGTCTATCAATGCCATAGAGACTCTGGCCTCCCCCAAATGTCAGGTCTATCTCCATCCCTGGCCTCTCCCCTACATCCCAGACTGGGAGAGCCAATCACCACCCACTGGACAACCCCACTGGCACATGTAATGCATGTCTCAAACAGTGTGTGGGAAACAAGTCTCCATTCTCCCCTCATCAAAACTTACCATCCCCAGACTTGTCCATCTAGGTTGATGACTCGATGACCCATGACACTCAGCACCGCTTAAACCAAAGATCCAGGAGTCATGCCTGATAACTCTCATTTCACAACATACATTCAACTCATCAGCAAGGGTCTGCGCTCCAGAAGCATCCCACCTCCAGCCTCCTCACACCATCCTTCCCGGCACCAGCCTAGTCCAAAGGATCCTCAGCCCTCTTCGTGTAACTAACAGCTTCCTGTGTAGAAGTCTGGCTGATACAGATCACTGTTTACTTTAAATCCTCTTTCCACTACCATTAGAAAAAAAAATCAAAATTGCATTCCCTAATTATAATCCAGCACTTCCTAACTTCCTGACCTCCCCTCACACCATTCCTCCTCGCTCTGGGAACTCTCCAGGCAAAGTAGACCGTCTTTCTCTTCCTTAACAACACACCTGCTCTATCAGCGGCACTGCAGGTGTCCTGCCCCCTTCTCCTCCCTCCACACACTCAGGTTTCAATTCGTCTTCTCAGAGAGGCTTCTGCCATCACCAGGTTGATGTATCTGCCACCTGCTTCACCCTCCATCCCTGTCCAGCCACACTTAATAAATACTGTTTCACGTTCCACGCAGCACTTTCCACTTCTGACCTCTGTGCACTCCTTTGTGTTTTACGTCTTCATAAAAGGTTGACTCCTTGAATGGCAGGGACTTTTGCCACCACTCCTTCTCAGGGACCACAATCCCCTCGGCCTAGATCATCCACTCAGTGACTATCTGTTGAATGAACGCAGTTTGACAAAACAAAGCTTGAGAGGCAGCTCTGGTATCAGTGGTTCATCCAATACACGATTTGAACAATTGCCGCACGTCCCTCCCCCCTCCCTTTCCTTTCTATACAATTCCTTTCATTCATCCGATAAACACTGAAGATTTTTCATGTTCCAGGCACTGGAAAGGGGCGGAGTTCTGCACTTCGGATGAGCCCACATACAATCTGAAAAACCTTCAGGATCCCTGGGTGGCGCAGCGGTTTGGCGCCTGCCTTTGGCCCAGGGCACGATCCTGGAGACCCGGGATCGAATCCCACATCGGGCTCCCGGTGCATGGAGCCTGCTTCTCCCTCTGCCTGTGTCTCTGTCTCTCTCTCTCTCTGTGTGACTATCATAAATAAATAAAATTAAAAAATTTAAAAAAAAAAAAAACCTTCAGACTGCTGTTTTTAAAAGGACTTCGCTACACCTTCCTTCTCTGAAACCGTGTCTTTTACATACACTTGTCTTCCCCCAGTTGCCAAATCAACCTGTAACTTCAGGAAAGCCCAGGAAAATGTGTATAGAGTCCGTCGTCAGTATTCCGTTTCCGGACTCGGCTTTGATCTCCGTGGGGCTGCTTACTGCCCGGACCCTCGGAGCCTCAAGCATCTCGGAGCCTCAAGCACCAGCGGGCGCCCGAGCAGGAAGGATGAGCAAGACGCAAACAAGGGAACGAGAAGGCGCAGACAGGGAGCTCGGACGTGCTTCTTCCCTCTACCCGGGAGCCGCCCGACCCGCGCCCCAGGTGCGCCCCCCATCCTCGAGCTGGCGGGCTCCGCCACCTGCGCTCCCGGCCGCGCGGCTCCCCCAGCCCCTCACGTGGAGGCGGGCCAACCCCGCCCGGGTCCCGCCCCCTCGTGATTGGCGGCTCGAGCGTCCTATCCCCGCCCCGCAGCCGGCTTCCGCCCCTCCCCTTCCCGGCGCCGTGAGGGGGCGGAGCACTCGGCTGGCCCGGCCCCAGCTCCAGGCCCCTCCGGGCCGCCCAGCCCTCCGCTACGCGCCAGCCTGCCGGGATTGGCCGAACGCCGCCCTCCGCCGGACCCCCGGCGTTATGTAACGTGCTCGGGGGCCATCTCCCCGCCCACCCGCCTCCGCTTATGTAACCCGGGCGCCCCCTCCTCCCCGCCCCGGCGCGGGCCCCGCCCCCTGGCCAATAGGGGCGCGCAGAGCCGGCCGCGGCAGCCAATCGCGTGGCTGAGGGCGGGGCCGCGTCACGTGGCGCGCGGGGGGCGCGGCGCCGGCTCCCCCCCAGCACGCGGCGGGTCTCGGGACTGCTCCCAGCGGGTCGGGCCGGGCCGGGCCGGGCGGGCCGGGCGGGGCGGGGCGGGGCGGGGCGCGCTGCGGCGGTGTCTCGGTGGCGGTGGCGGGTGAGTGCTCTACCGGGGCCGGGAGCGGTCTCTCCGAGCCCGCCCTCCGTACTGGGGCCGGCGGCCGGGTGGCGCCGGGCGGGACCCCGGGGCCCCGGAACTTGGCGCTGGAAGTTCCCCGTGCCCGGGTCCAGTGTTTGGGCGCGGCCACCCATGCGGAGCCCCGGGGGGCAGGCTGCTGAATGGGAGGGTCTGGCCGTGCGGCCGGCGGGGTCGGGGCGGGGGCGCTGTCACAGCCCGGCTCCAGCCCCACAGGAGCCGTGTGACTGGACATCTGTCCCTCGGCCTCCTCCCCCGCCCCAGGCTGCCCCTGCGAGCGGAGCCACCCAAGACTGCATGGAGATCCTGCAGAGGACGCTTCCTCCAGGTGACCAGGGATGTGTCTGCTGGCTCCTGATGACAGATCACCTTCCCTAAGGCAATGGCACGGACCAAAATGAGACATTTCTGTCGCTGATTGCAAAGTGTAAAAGAAGCGGGCAACAGACCGAGAGCAGCCGTGCAAAAAAGATGGACCCCCGCGAAGACCTGGGAGTGTCCAAATCTCTGGACTCCAGGGGGTCCGAGCCTCCGGAACCACAGGCCTGTTGCTCTGAGGCCCTGGGGAAAGGACAGGAGGAGGTGTGGAGCGAGAAATCCCAACTGCAGAGCCCACAGGTGGAGAGCACCAACAGGTGACCCCCCTGATCTGTTTGTTCTTGGATGATCAGTACAGGGAAAGGAGGGCTTAAATCGTTCTATCCCTTCGTTGATAAGCCTAGGAGAAAGTTCAGGGGGATGCTCAGACAACTTGGGACGTAACGCTCTGGGAAACTGAAGGATTATCAAAAAAAGCACAGAAAGAATGGTGAAGGATTTAGCTGAGCGGGGGGCTGAAGTGGGAATGAGAATGGATGGAAAAATGTTTGATGTTGACCAGTTTCTTTGGCTGAGATCCCACCACCTGTCCAAAGGGGAAAATAAACCTGTGAACTAAATGAGTTGATCCATGGGAAGCATCTAGAAAGTTGCTTGGCACATCATACGCTGTTCAAACAGTAGATGTTGGTTGCTCCTAAAATTGAAAGTGTGAATTGACAAGCTTTTTTTTTTCTTTTTATCTTACAGTGAACAGCAAGATCAAAACAGAGTTTCTGAAGAACTTGTAATGGTTGTGCAAGAAATGAAAAAATACTTTCCATCAGGCAGACACAGTAAGCCAAGTACCCTAGATGCTCTCAACTATGCCCTTCACTGTGTACACAGTGTACAAGGTAAATGAGCTGGGGAGAAATTGCAGTCATGCAAGTACATCATTTTGCTCATAAACATTGGCCAAGCTGGAAGAGTTGTCAGTGTGCTTCTAGTCCCTGAAATGTTTTGAGCTTTTTATGGTGCTTGATGTGAGATGAGCAAATCTACACAGAAACTATGTCTTAGTTTTGCAAATTAGGAACATCAGGAGGACCTTATTTGTATAATAGTTTAGGAACTGCTACTTAGTGACCGTGCCAGATTTTGATGATTTGTTGCAGGAGAGTAGGGTTTAGCACATTTTAAAGAGTCACTTTTACACGATCGTTATCTTCTAAGGATATTGGGGGAAAATACATTTGGTTAAATACAGCTCACCTTGCCGTTATCCACATACAATTAGAGTGCATTCATGATATATCAGGAATTTGCCAAATTAAAAATGAACAGTTGCAAACTTCTTTTCCTTTTTATCTCTGAGTTTTCTTTTCCAGGGATTTAATAAAGTATACATTTTCTTTAAAACAAATCTCTCTGACTTCATGTATGACACACAGTTCTTGGACACAAAAGTAATGTTTCTGCCATAAACACGTCACCTGTATGTGTTTGGAATTTTGGGTTTCAGTACCTTATGTGGATCCTGCTCCTGGCAATGCAGAACATCAGGAAATGCTAAAATTCAAAAGCTTATATTTGTACAGCTATTCGTGTTATAGGTGAAAGAAGATGATCTGGTTTTGAGGCACACACGCCAAGGTGTCCTCATCCTAAAAAATAACCCAACTTTGATGATGGTAAAAATGATTTCCTAAAGATATTGCTGTCACTGGACTATCTGTTTATTTTCCTGTGTTTCTTAGCAAGCAGTGAGTTTTTCCAGATTCTCAGTCAGAGTGGAACACTTCAAACAGATGCGACCGTGTACAGTCTTGAGGAGCTGGCCACTCTTGCTTCAGGGTACACTTCCAAAAACACAGTAAGAATTCACAAATTTTGCAGTCTCAACCTGGGTGATATTTTTTAACAACCTTATCAAGACGTAGATTTTTAAGCCTAATAACCTCAGAGTCTTAGTAACCACAGTGCGAGGCAAAGAATAGAAGCACACTGCCCAAGAGGCATTGTATAGATAGTTTCTCCTGCCCTTGCCAGAGCACAGATCTCAACCCAAGAGGCAGCACGTGAGAGGTGGTCTACTGGGCTTCCCTTCCGTGCCGCCCCTGCCTTATGAGCATTCTTGAGTTCTCTTGAATTAAGAGGAAAACATACAATGCAGAGTAATTGCCCCCATTTTTATTCTAATCTCCGAATTGTTAATTTGTATTTATATCATTCTTAGTTCCAATACCTACTACTTCAAGTTGTAACAACTGGATTTTATAGAACAGGTGAGTTGAGATGCTGTCATTTTTCTGTAAAATTTTGGAAGAGACGTTTAGCGTATCATTTTTTGAATCTCTTCATGTGGACAAAATAATTCAGCCTCATGCCTTACTGATGTGATGGAGATCCCTTAGTTTTATGTTTAGACCTCAACAAGATTGTAACTTCAAGATCTTGTAATATTGGAACAGGAGCTGTCCCTGGTATCACAGTAGCTGCTTGTTTTACTGACTTGTGTGTTTATGGGACTCTACTGAATATGGCGGAATATAAGAAGGAAAAGTTTAAGAAGATATTTTCCCTTTTTAAGATCTTCAGAATAAAGCTAGAGAGGAAGACATGCCAATGCTAGCAGCCACAAGCCATGGCCAACTGTAAATGTTATTGATGTCTGATCGGACAGACATGAGAAATGATTCTTATGAGTGAGGTTGGTCAAAGACAGTGTCATGAAGGAAGAGAATTTTGAGTATGATCTTGAAGCTTAGAATCAGGCATTGGTGAAGACAAGACATTCCCCAGTTTGCAAAAGAGAAGGAATCAAAAGTGGGTACGTCATACGCACATTTAGTTGATGCAGGAAGAGCTGGTATATTGTTTGGTATAGAAATCAGTCCTTCAGAAGATAAAACACAGGTTTTATGATGATTATTAAGGGAAATGTTGGAGAATTATGCTGCCTTTGCAGGATATGTGTTTGTGTGTGTTGATCACATTAGGAGTCTAGAAGAAATTCCGTTTCAGGGAATATTGTTTGTAAGTATCTCAATCTTTTCATTATTTTAAATGTTTTTCATAGGATACCTTTGTGGCAGTTTTTTCATTTCTGTCTGGAAGGTTAGTGCACGTTTCTGAACAGGCTACTTTGATCCTGAATTGTAAGAAAGATTTCTTGGAGTCCTCTCACTTTATGGAACTGCTTGCTCCTCAAGATGTGAGAGTGTTCTGCGCACACACTGCCCACACTCAGCTTCCCCTCTGGAACAATTGGACCCAAAGAGGTAATGGGACCGAGGCTCAGATGTTTACCTTGCTTCTTAAAGATCAGCTTCATTATTTCAGAAATAGTACCAGAATTAACACATAATTTTGAACCTGTAAGCTATATGGTTTTTCTTATTTCCTTATTTAAAAGTCAGAATGTGGGGTACCTGGCTGGCTCAGTCGGTGGAACGTGCAACTCTCGACCTTGGGGTCCTGAGTTTGAGACCCACGTTGAGTATAGAGATTGCTAAAAATAAATAAAGCTTAAAAAAATAAAGATAAGTAAATAAATAAAAAGATTGTGATAGAAATAGCATTTTAAGTGCTTCTAATAACAAAGTTCCAATTAATATGCTTTCATGTAGTCAAGTTAATTTTAGAAGTTCTGTTATCATAAATATGGTTTTTTAAAAATATGATTTGGCAAGCTGCACACCATATAGCAAGTTAATTGTTATAAAGACTCTGTTTTCTCTAAGTTAATAAAATTAAATGTTTTCTCTCTTACATTGACTTCATTATTTCTTTGCTTTTATTTGGAGATAAACTTCTCATGGTTATTTCCCCTTCTAGTTTCTCTTCTCCCTAAAAGTTCATGAATCTTGTTACTTTGTTTTTTTTCTGAAATGCTTAATTTCCTGAACTGAGGAATGCCTAGTCCTAGTTTCCTTTGTGACATTCAGTCCTGTATAATTTTTAAAAATTATTCATTATTTCTTTTAAAGTCATTCTATATTTCTTATTTCATATTCTTTGTGAAGTGTATCTTAAAGAATTGAGTGTAAAAAAAAAAAAAAGAATTGAGTGTGGTTGAACCTTTTTCTTCTAATTCCAAGCCCTTTTTTCTAATTTTTTTAAAATTTAAATTTGATTTATTATGGTAAAAAAATCCCATTAGCAAAATTTACCATCCTAACCATTTTTAAGTGTACAGTTCAATAGTGGTAGGTACATTGGCATGGATGTGAAACACACCTCTAGAACCTTCTCATCTTGCAAGTCTAGGGCCCTCTGCCCATTCTGACTTTCTAAGGCAGGACGTGGTCCAGTGGGCACAGTCTCAGATGCAGCTTTTTTCAGTGGCAGACCTTTGCCCCATCTCTTATGCACAGGTTGTGTACACTTCAGAACACACACCTGTTTTCCTTGCTTGCTTCTAGCTCTTTCCTGTTCCGCTCACTCAAAAGCATTGATTTTATTTCGCTTCCTCTTTCTTTAACACATATTTTCAGCCTTTAAGTGTCCATCTTTGTTTCTCTCCTTTTATTGATTGATCGTTCATCCATTCCATAAATGTTTATTCAGCAAGCACTGTGGGCCCGAAGCTGTTCCTGGTGCTGAGATAGAGCTGTGAGCGGGGCAGACATACCACGAGGTTGTCTGCCTACCCTCTTGCCCTTCCAGCCACCATCCCTCCAGCGATGCCTCCATGGTCTCTGCTCTTTTTAGCTGTGTTATCTTTGCAAATTAGTTATTGCCATGCTGTTTCCTCTCCATGTAAACATATAATACACCCTGAAATTGCTGTCTTTTGGACCTCAATATTGACATCTTCCTTAAAGAGGAGGTGCCTCTCGTGACTGCTCACTCTGGGCTTCGCCTCGCACATCTCAGCAATTCTAGCTCTTTCTTGCGCCATTTCTGGGCTGGGCCCATGTTGCCTCCTCCTGCCCCTTCCTTTGAGCTCATAGAACATTAGGGGAACATAGGAAGCTATAAGCTCAGCAGGGTGTCAGCCTTTGGCCTGGCATTCAGAGCACGTTTCAACTTTGGTTTGTTGTACGGACCTCACAGAAAGATCTGACTGCTGTTTCTTTAGAATGCACTTCCGAAAACAAGGATTCACCTGCTACAGCTGAGGTGTGGAAATGATAAGGGCTAGCATTTACTGTTTGAGATCCCACAATCTGGTACTGTGTCCTACATGACCCCCAGAGAATGCAGTTGAATTCAGGTGCCTGGTGTACTCTACACATAGTTTTCCCAAGTCTATCTTCCGGTAGGGTTGCAGTATTTCCTGTGTGAAGAATTTTAAGCAAGGAATCTGAAGATCCGAGATTGATTGATTGACTGATGTATATTTTTTTATTGGAGTTCAATTTGCCAACATCTAGTGTAACAGCCAGTGCTCATCCCGTCAAGTGCTCCCTTCAGTGCCCATCACCCAGTCACCCCATCCCCCCGCCCACCTCCCCTTCCACTACCCCTTGTTCGTTTCCCAGTTAGGAGTCTCTGATGTTCTATTACCCTGTCTGATATTTCCCACTCATTTTTTCTCCTTCCTCTATAATCCCTATCACTGTTTTTTATGTTCACCATATGAATAAAACTGTATAACGAAGATCCGAGTTTTAAATTGAGCTTTGTCCCTTCATGAATGATGGAGGCCACTTAGCTTCTCGTTGTGAAATAGTAATAGTTCTCCTTCCAGCCTGCTAACACAGGGCTGCTGTGAGAAGCAAGCAGGCTGATGGCGGGGAAAACACTTGAGGTATTTGGCACATTATGCAACATTAGGGGTCATCTTCATTGCTCCCATCTATTGAATGGTTACCATGTGGCAGGGACTTTTTTCCAGGTTTCAATGGGTTGACTAATCTTCACAAAAACCTTTATGAGGCATGGATACTGTTGTCATCCCTGGTTGATGGATGAGGTGACTGTGTCAGTAGGTCTGTTGCATAGCCAATGCCAAGATAGGGTTAGCCATTTGAGAGACTGGTTGGGGGGAGGAGGGGAGCGGTGCCCTCGGCCCACTAGGCATGTCTGACACCCGTGGAAGGAGCGGGAACAAGGGGGATGGGGCAGGAGGAGGAGGCTTGGCCGGCCAGTCAAAGGGAAATCCAAGTCATGGTCAGGCCCCAGAACATCCCTGCATCCCACCTCAGGACTGCTCACGCATAGGCGCAGGGCAGTGGCTGGAGCCTATGGTCAAGTATGGCCCTCCAAGCTCGGGCCCTGCCATCACAGAGGCCCAGGGCTAAGGGAACTCACCCCAGGTCACACTGCCAGTCGTGAGGTGATGGCAGGTTTCACCCTGGTGGGCAGCGTCCAGGACCCTCACCCCAAGCCATGGCCCCTGGTGACCACAGCTATCCCTGGGAGATTGTTGCCTTCAGATGGGAGACGTGTGGTCAAACTAAGGCAGGCTTTTATTTTATTTTATTTTGGGAGATTTTACTTATTCATGAGAGACACAGAGAGAGAGGCAGAGACACAGGCAGAAGGAGAAGAGGGCCCCTGTAGGGAGCCCAATGCAGGACTCGAACCCAGGACCCCGGGATCACAGCCTGACCTAAAGGCAGACATTCAACCACTGAGCCACCCAGGCACTCTTAAGGTAGGCTTTTGAAAGCCACACCACAGACTGGTTCCTGTTCCTAAAAACCATCTCAAAAAATGAATATTTTCAAAATGTCCTTGTCTTGCCATAACTCCTCTGCAAACTCACCTGAGCCTTTCCTGAGGTGGCGTCCCTGTGAGGGCTGCTGAGCAGTGCAGGGGAGTTTGGAGAGCCTCCTTTGTCAGCAGCGCCCTCCCTGCTTTCTCACACACAAGCTCTATGAATGGTCTTCCAGGTTCAGAATTTCAGGACTTTCTGTGACTTTCCTAGTTTTCTGAATTCTGATAGTGAGGTCGTTGTCTTTGAAACTGGAGTATTTTGTGGTTTGACTTCTTTTCTTTTTTAATCACGAACAGTTTCCCTGATCACTCAAAAGCCCATTCTCTGACCCCTCCTGTGATCCTCTCCCCAGAAATGCAAAGAGCAGGATCACATGGAGCATCTTGGTTCTTCAGAGCTCTCATTGTTTATGCTCCATCAGTGCATGTTTTAAAAACATCTCCTTGTTTTTAAGCATTTCCTTGGTTCCTGTAACTGAGGATTTTTCACCCCAGTGAGCAAATGCCCAAAATATCGATTCAAGGAGCTCTAGCAGAGGAGAGGTAGTCAACAAACACTTGGGAGAAGGTTCAGCCCCTTGATGAAGGCAAATTGAAAGAGTCTGAATTACCACCTCACAAACCCGTAAAATTAATGCAGAAATCATTAAAACTGATGGAACTATTGGCCTGAGGGTTGTGAGAAAATGTCCTTAGAGACCCTGTGCAAATGGTATGATCTTCTGTAGATCAGTGTGGCGCTATATAGGGAGAATCCTAAGATCATATTGTTTAACCCTGGACCCCAACTTTGGGGACTTTGTCCAAGGAAAGAAAAAAGTGAAAGACATATATGTATCATATACCTAAACGCTGTAAGTTGTCCAAATCAGTTTTTGAGGCCCATCCAGACCGTCATGGTGAAATTGCATATTACGACCAAAGTAAATGTGTCCCCAGATTATTGCCTTGACATTGGAAGGAGGAACACAGGCAGTCTGAACAGGACGATGAGGTCCTGTTCCCACACATCCACATTATCTCCCTGAGGGTCACTGCTACAGTACGAAAGCCCCCTGGAAAGCACTGGTTGTGACTAGATCTCAAAGTGAGAGCAGGAGCCCTGTTTGGAGATCAAGAGTATCTCTTTCTTTGAAAAAATAATTTCATTTCTTGCTTCCATGGGGAGAGTTGGAGTTTGTCTTGCTGAGGAGAGGCTGCTCTGCCCTGTGGCTCTGGGAGTGGGTGATTAACACTTGTCTCTGTTTCCCGCAGCATCTCAGTATGAATTCGCTCCGGTGAAATCCTTTTTCTGCAGGATCCGGTAAGTTTGGGGGCTTATGGGGGACCAGGAATGGGTGGGCTATACTCTGATTTTATTTGGCCCTTTATAGATTCTTTTGTATTCATCTAGTGCTGGGTTCTTGCCACAAGCAATTTGTATTTGGATTGAGGGGAAGAAATGCAGATTTCACTCACAAAATGACCAGATAATAACGCAGTCAGGAGAAAGATCATTCTTAGCCTGGCAGTGCTTGCACTCTCTCAGTCTTTTGTTCTCTCTCTCTCTCTCTCTCTTTCTCTCTCTAAAATAACCTCTGGATGATGTGAAGTACACTTTCAAATGCCCACTGTTTAGGGAAGTTTGTTTGCTTTTTGCCCTTTGGTCACATTTAATTTTTGAAATTTTGCTTTATTTTTTTACTTTTTTTTTTTAAAGCAAGCTCTGTGCCAAATGTGAACTGGTGACCCAGAGATCAAGAGTCACATGCTCCAACTGAGCCAGCCAGGCGCCCCTAACTTTAAAAAATTTTTAATAACTGCAAAGAAATTTAGATAGATGTGTTTCAGAGAAGGATTTAAAAGGTTAAGATGTAGTGAACTGGGAGAAAACAGACCAAAATTGTAATAATAGTTGATTTCTGGTAGGATTTATTAGTGATTTTTTTCTCTCCTGAATTTATTGTGATGCGTTTACGTTACTTTTGCAATAAGAAAATGTGGTTCAGTGACATCACGATTGCCAGCATGAGTACTGAAGTTACTAACTGCTCCAGATGTGGAAAACTAAAGACAAAACTCCTTGTAATGAATCAGTCAGCACTCCGTGGGGTTAGGGGTTCTTGAGCTAACAGCATTCCAGTGCTCAAGGAGGGAACTCTGGGGAGAGGGGTCCAGGGCAGGAGGGAGGGCTATGTTCGTGTTCATTCAGTCCTTCACAGAGGAGTTGTTACAAAGATCTTAGAACAGTGCTTGCCACCTACTAAGCGCTGTTTGTGTTTGTTTTGCTAGTAAATATATTTATGTGTCTTCTCTGAGCCAGGCAGGATTACAGGTGTAAAGTTCTTGCCTCATGGGCCTTACATTCTGTGTGTGTGTGGGGGAACTGCTGATAATAAACAGGTACCTATGTATATGTCAGCTGACAGAAAGTTCTGTGTGGAACACTGAAGGAGAGTTAGGGAATTCTGGGCAAGGGAGAGATTACTAGTATATTCAGGGTGGTTAAGGAATGTTCTCTGATAAGAAGCCTGATTGCAGCCTGAGCCTGAAGGAGGTGAGGGAGCGAGCCATACCTCTATCTGAGGGAAGAGTGTTCCAGGCAAGTGCAAAGGCCCCGGGGGAGAGGATGCTTGGCCTGTGGGGGAGTAACAAGGAAGCTAATGTGGCTGGAGCAGAGGATGGAAGGAAACGAAGAAACAGGGACCAGAACATGGGGAGCTTTGACATCTGAAGGAAATGTTTTGTTCAGGTTAATCATTTATTTGAAAACTTTACTTTTGGAATTTGCAAAATAATGTGGAAGTAGAGGAGATGGTACAGTGACCTGGTATGTACTTACCATCCAGCTTCAATAACTTTAGCCCATGACCAGTCTCGTGTCATCTCTGCCACTGCTTGCTCCTCAGCCCCTGCCTGTTATTCTGCAGCAGATCTCAGACTGTGGAGCATTTCCCCCATAAGCATTTCAGAACGTGAGCTAAAAGAGAAGGTTCTTGTTAATCTTCATGATGCTCAAACTGTCCCATCTGTGACCAGCCGGAGCCGTTTCGGTCAGCTCCAGTGCCATGAGAGGGTACTCCTGTGGTCGGTGACAGCTTCCTTTGCTTCAGACGGTAACCCAGGCTCAACCTGAACACTTCCTACCCCAGACATGAGCCAGTCATTTCTCCGAGGATCCCCCATTCCTTGTGGGGAAACACGGTCTTAACCGTATGGTGACTGGCTCTGGATGGTAGTGGGGAGGTGTTGCTGGGCTTATCCTGGCCTCTGGGATTGCTCAGTGGACAGAAACAGAGCAGCCTTATTTTTTAGAAAGATGAGAACTGACATAAAAGGACCACATTGGACACTGTGCAAGGACGAGAAGATGGGGAAGGTCTGGGAGAGAGAGGCTGTCACACCAGGAGGTGGTAGCAGGAGGACGTGGGAATATCTTGGGAATTCTGGATATTTCTATATGGAGAGCTATTGGGATTCATTAATGGACTGGTTTCAGGTGTGAAACAGGATTAGTCAGGGGTGACATGAGGGTCTCTGGCTCCAGTTGACCTTTACTAGAGCAGAGGACACTGAGAGAGCTGCTTCCTGGAGTGCGGAGGAAAGAGCACAGTGCCTGGTTTTAGACCAGTTGGACTGCCTTACAGTGTTGGAAATCGAACTTGTGGTGCATAGGTATGGAGATTAGGGAGAAGGTGGGGCAGCAGCAAGTACTGGGTCTTCGGCACATACGGGACAGGATGAGCCTGGGAGACAGTATAGCTGATGGGTCAGGGTCAGGGTCGGGGTCAGATTCAGGCCCTCAGCTGTGGAAGCAGGGTTGTGGTGGAGAGTGGAGGTGCAGGTGGAGGCCCCAGAGTCTGGAGAGGCGAGGAAGCCAGGCGGGGGTGGGAGCACGAGGGCATGTGGACGCAGATGTGGACGTGGATGCGGAGCTTCCAGGCAGCTGAGGACCACCTGGCATCACTTTAAGCAGTGGTGGGAGAGGCGAGATGTGACTGGTAGAAACGGGGGAGCATGAATTCAGTGGTGGGCATGCTGACACAAAGGGGACCATGGTGTATCCAAGGAGAAGTGCCCTCTGGGCAGCTGGGGCTGTTAAACTGGGTAGAAGCCTGGGAGAGGCCCCACAGCTGGGGTTAGGGCTTGGCGAGCAGGTTCCAGCTCTGCCTTTCTGCTCAGCAGGCACGCAAGGAGAGCTCACCACACCTGGGGCCCTGTGCCCATCCGGGTTGTGTCTGAAGCTGTGAGGTGCAGTCAGTCCCTTGAGGGAGGGTAGGTAGGGCTGGTGGAGAGCTGACTTTGGGGAGTATGATCACAGGGAACCCTATTTCTGTCACGGGGTACTTAATTTAGACGCAGGAGGTAAGACTGGGAAGTTATGGTTTCGAAGTCAAAAGAAAAGTTGTAGGACAGCTGGTTCTATCTTCAACTCAGTAAACTGGTTCTCTGTAAAACCTCTCTTCCATTGAATAATCAATGAGTTTAATTACCCTTGGGTATTGAAAATATACACTAACATTTCTTTTTAATATAAACACATTTGAACATTTTCAATTTGGCTACATCTGTCTCGGAAATCACCAAGAAGGCATTTCTCCTGACCTAGTTTCACGTGGGCTCACTGACCCATCATTTCCCTGCTTTTCAGGGGAGGCAAAGATGCAGAGCAAGAGAAGCATTACTACCCATTCAGGATTATCCCCTATTTGATACACGTACACAGAGCTTCCCAGCCAGAACCTGAGCCCTGCTGTCTCACCCTGGTGGAGAAGATTCATTCTGGTTATGAAGGTAACTCAGGAGCGTCTGCTTTTAGGTCACATGTAACCTGACAGTACCTTAGGGAGAAACCTGTGAAAGCCTGCTTACTCCAGCCACAGAACCAGGAAAGAATGCTCGGGGCTTCACGTTGGCCCTGAGCTCTTGGGCTTTGAGAGCTGATCTTCCCTAAAGTCTCTGTGTACTGACCCTGAACTTCTCAGTGGTTGTCTCCCTCAAGGTTGGCACAGCCTAAGGGTCTAAGCATAGACTTGGCCACCGATACATGGTCCTCTAATCTTTTCTGTACTGGTGACTATCCCGGGGCCTTCTGCTTCTGCCCTGTGTGAAATAAGAGCATGAAACTTGGGGGCGACTGTGGGGGGGCTCAGTTGGTTAGGCACCTGACTCTTGGTTTCAGCTCAGATCATGATCTCACCAGTTGTGGGATTGAACCCCGTGTTGGGCTCCATGCCCAGTGGAGAGTCTGCTTAAGATACCCCCTCCCCCCACAACATACTCTCTCTCAAGTAAATAAATAAATCTTTAAAAAAAAAGAGCATGAAAATTGTAATTTCACAAGAACAAGCTTATATTTTTTAGGTGTTCTAAAAGCCCTTGAATGAAAACTGTAGTTTATGTCCTCTGATGGCAGAGCTACATTTCTAAACTCATATGTTAATACAGGAGCAGCTTCCATTTATTATTTGTTTTTTTGTTTTGTTTTAAAGATTTTATTTATTTATTCATGAGAGACACATACACACAGAGAGAGGCAGAGACACAGGCAGAGGGAGAAGCAGGCTCCATGCAGGGAGCCTAATGCGGGACTTGATCCCGGGTCTCCAGGATCAGGCCCTGGGCTGAAGGCGGTGCTAAACCACTGAGCCACCCAGGCTGCCCTCCATTTATTATTTGAAATTAAAGTCAGTTCTGCTGTAATCTGACATATGCTTTCCTAAAAATTATTGTCCTATGCAAACACACACACACACACACATACATACACACACACACACACACACACACACAAAATCACAGAGCTTAAGAAAAAAATGGGTTTAGGGGCACAACACTCAAAAACTTAACCACACATTGAAAATAATACAGGGATCTAATAAAAATAGTAACACAGCTTTACACACGTTAAATGGTTAAGAAAGACACAAATGGCACAGTAAACACAGTGCCTCGCCTTGGAAAAGGCCCATGGTAGCTTGTAGACTTGGGTGTTGGCAGGGTCACAGCTCCTGAGCTACTGTGGTGCCAGAAGTCAAATGTGGTTGGGCATGTCTTGTAATATATGTCTTGCAACATGGGGTGCACAGAGGTGTAGATGTTTGAGGTGTGTGCATGTGCTTGTGTATTCTTGGGTGACTCCATTCACCTCTCGTTTCTTGCAGATGAAATTGTGCATGATTTCAAATCACTACATTTTCAAAGTGAACAACAGTAGAACTGACCATATCGGGTTTTCTTACACAGACTTAAAATATCCATATCACACACCAAATAAATGTACTTAGTTATACACAATCACCAAATATGACCAGACTTGGGCTAGTCCTGACCTTTAATTTCCTCCAGCTTTGACTGCTGCATTGTGTTGAGTAAGCTTTCTGTGTATACAAACTCTACTTAAAATTAACTTTAATAGGCGTTGCATTTTGACCCAATCAGAACGTAGTAAATAATGACAGGTATTATAATTTCACCACAGCTTTGGCTTCTTGAAGGCCAGGCCCCTAAGTGAGATCTCTACCATTTTGTATAGAGATATTGTTCCCTTTTTAATGTAAGTGTTCGGTAAAGTAGGTGAGTAATTAGATATTTGCCTTTAGGTGAGTCTTTCTGTTTTTCCTAGCTCCTCGAATCCCAGTGGATAAAAGAATTTTTACCACAACACACACCCCTGGGTGTGTCTTTCTTGAAATAGATGAAAGGTAAGCACTTCCTTAAGCCTAAAAGAAATTTTGTTTCTGAGTACAGGTAGATATGTGAGAACATTTACATCATGTTTACATACTTCTACATTATCAAGTAGATATCTGTGCATTTATCCATTTGATGTTAGCTTGAAGTTTATGTTTTAAGTATCTTGTATATTATATGATTTACAAGTTATATATGATTTCACAGTAGTAAGTCAGTAATTACTGTTCTGTGTTACACAAGAGGACAGTGTACCTGGCCACATGGTATGTGATTGTACTCAGAAGGAGACCAAAACTCCAACCTTGGCCTCCAGCTTCAGATTTTTTTTTTTTTTTGGTAAAGCTAAGTTTATTTAATTTAAAACATTATCAGTGATTTTGAACTTATGTTTTTTCTACTTTTTTGTTGGTCTTGAAGTGGTCTTCCTTAAAAAATTGTGATAGGAGATGGTAGTCATTGCTTATTGTTGTTTTTTAATAATTTTATTTGGAAAAATAAATGTTATCCCCTGATGAGTACCCTCTGCTACCAATGCCCCCCGTTTATTTTTACATTTTACTTATTTGTGACATCTGAAAATCTGGGGAATCAGTGCACCATGGCACATATAAATATAAGGCAACAAAGTCCAAACAGCTGACACAGTTATGATAGCTGTTAATTTTTATTTTTAAAAAATCTTAACATCTGAAAATAGATTTATTTAATAATAGATACCTCCAAACTAAACAGTAATTGGTGATATACTTTGTATCATGTAGTTTGTATAAAGTAAGAATATTTAGCAGCATATAATAGCCTACTGGTAATGGCTTAAATTTCTTGCATTAGAAAATGTTTGTGAATTTGTGCACACAGAAAACATTTATGGAGTCCGTTCTTTCTAAATCATTCTGAAAGCTCTGCATTCACAGCTCTCCCATGAAGCTTCACCCTGCATGTGTCTCTGTGTTCCCTTTGTCTATTTGTTACTACCTTCTGGGAGAGACTGTCTCTGGACAGTTTTAATGGTGCTGTATAAATCTGTAGCCTGCTTTATTTACTTAACACCATAAGCATTCTTCTACATTATGATGTGATCTTTTTAAACTATTTAAATGTAGGGGGACATCAGAGACCCCTAAGGAACTTGCTAAACATATAGATTCCTGGTCTTACCCTAGAAACTCTGATTGAGTTAGCCTGTGGTAAGCCAATGAATCATTTTCTAGCAAGTTCCATAGGCAGCTTTGATGCACTATGTCTAATGCCCAGCATTTCTTAGATTCTGGAGCCATTTCCCCATGGCATGAGCTCTGAGGTAGTTTGCTCCTTGTATAAAATGCTGGAATGACATCTTTTGCATACCTTCTTTTTTTATATTTAGAATTAAGTTTTAAAAGTATTTTCTAAAATGTACAAGTACAGAAATTACTTGCTGCATGTGATGTGCTGTCTGTGCTCTGTCTGTACCCCAGAGCAGTGCCTCTGCTGGGTTACCTGCCTCAGGATCTGATGGGAAGGTCTGTCTTAACATATCTGCATCCAAAAGATCGTTCTCTCATGCTCACTGTACACCAAAAAGGTAAGGATCTGCATCTTTATAGTTAGAGGTTTTTGTGTAGCCACTCATCTGCTCTTTTTCATTTCTTGTTAGACCTTTCCATAAGTTCTAATCACTCAACCTTTAACAGGCGAGCTCTGTGTTGAAGGTGCTAAAAACAATTTTTTTCTCTTCTGGCATTCTGAAAAACCTATAAATGCCTAGAAAAAGACATCTGCAATAAATAGCTGCATTAAATAAATTCTAATCTCGGGGATCCCTGGGTGGCTCAGAAGTTTAGCGCCTGCCTTTGGCCCAGGGCATGATCCTGGAGTCCTGGGATTGAGTCCCACATCAGGCTCCTGGCATGGAGCCTGCTTCTCCCTCCTCCTGTGTCTCTGCCTCTCTCTCTCTCTCTCTCTCTCTCTCTCTCTCTTTCTCTGTCTCTATGTCTATCATGAATAAATAAGTAATCTTAAAAAAATAAAATAAAATAAAATAAATTCTAATCTCGTATTATCTTATATAGTCTTGAAGTATGCAGGCCACCCTCCCTTTGAACACTCACCCATTCGATTTTGTACTCAAAATGGAGATTACGTTATCTTGGACTCCAGCTGGTCCAGCTTTGTGAATCCATGGAGCCGAAAGGTGTCTTTCATCATTGGTCGCCATAAAGTTCGAATGTAAGTCAGTCAACGTCCATGTTTTTAGAAGACTATTTTTACCAAATAGTATTCTTCCACCCACTGACTCCCTTTGAATCATTTGACACACAAATTAACCACAGATAATTTTTTTAAAATGCTTTTTGAAGACAGTTTGGCAGTATGTGTCAAGAACCTTGGAAGATTTCTGTCTCTGACCCCATGATTTCCTTATAGAAAGAAACAGTCTAAGGAAATATGCCTAAATACAGGCATATTTAGAACGAGCTTTAGAAAGCAAAGATGTATTTTGTACCATTTTTTAATCATAACGGTGGACTTAGAGTAGCTAGCTTATATCAGTCGTTAAGTAAGTTCTAGACCATTTGACATGTTATATTACTGATCAAAAAGAAATTTGAAAATTTCTGAAATTTACTGAAAAATGGAAAGATTAAAAAAGCAGCATACAAAATTCTTTATACCGTATGAATATAAATATGTTCAAATGACACACAAACATTGGGAAGTAGGAAAAAGAAGAGGAAACGAAATAAAATATAAATTCTGGCTATGGGTATGGTTAATGGATGAAGGTTTTTTTTTTATCTTTTCTGAATTTTAAAGTTCTCTGTAGTGACCACGTAAAACTTCTTATATCAAAAAAAATCTTTTTATATCAGCTTCTTCTGTCAAATTCCACGTATTTGCGTCTATTCTATCAAATCTTTATTTTTAAAAATTAGATGCTTTGGTTTTTATATTCCTTCCAACACACCGACTCAAGCCTGTTTGATTACTGCTACCTGTCCATGTAATAGAACCTTGTGAAATGGATCTAGAACAACTTATGCTGCCACTCTTGTAGCCTAAAATACTCCCAGTCTCTTGACTTTTTGGGTTAAATTTAAAATTGACCTCTAGGTTTCTCACCTGGGCCATAGGGAACCTGGTGATGTCTATTTTTTGTTTTGTTTTGTTTTTTTTATAATGGAAATTACACCTAACTCTTTAGGATCATGCTGAGTTTGAGAAATAACACCTTTTGTGTTTTATTATAAAGCTTTGTGCACATGAGCATAAAATGGAGAACAGTAGGTCTTACCGGTAAGACTTATTTTTGTCATGTCTTGATACTATAACAGAGGATACCTAACCATGGTAAGAAATGGTTCCAAGGTCTTCTTAGGTCTTTGTGTTCTGGGATTTGGCCTCTCAAAAGAACAGGTCTGGAACTATAATGTAGAAATGGGCTCCTTAACTCAAGAGATCAATTTGTGCTAGAAAACTAACATAATAATTAAGAAATAGGACTGCCAAGTAAATATAAGTTATGCGTATTGGTCAGAAAGGACCTGTTCCCCCCAGTAGGGAAATCTGTGGGGAAGTGAAAATAAAATCCGAGCCTAGACTCTGTCCCTTCATGAATACCTACTTAGACTTTACCAGCTAGGTGACCTTGAGAAGTTTTCAACTCTGGTGAAGGAGATAAAACTTGCTAGAGCTCTTGAAACAGTGTGTGGCACATCATATGGGTTTAGGAAATGTTATTCTTGCTATATGTTATAAAAGCATTATGGTTCCTGTCACACAGAGGATCCTAAATGAACGTCATTTCCTTTGTGATATTTTCTGTTGGCACATCTGCCTCTGTGTTCAGATAGTAGTTTTGGAACGCTCTAGTGTTAACAGGACTGCAGATTGTAACAGCCACATTTTCACCAATAGTTGGGTTGCTGAAGTGATTAGGTACATTAAACATTTAATATTTGGTGGATCTAGGGTCTTAAAATTTCTACGATAGGTTGCTCAGTTAATGTTAAATTTTGAGACCAGTAGTTGTTGAAGGTATCTTGGTAGCTACGGTTACTTGTCACTTATTTTAGATTTCTACAAATACAGTGCTGACACAGATGTCAAAAGATTACAGCTTTAGATGATCCAAAGAAGGCTCTTAACATCTCATTTGTTTCTTAGTTTTTTTCCCTGCTTCTACGGATGATGAGATTTTAAGCTTCATGTTTTCTACTTGGAGCCCCAAGAGTTGCTTTGTATAAATACGGATTTAGTGTTTGAACATTCTGTTTAAAAATCTCTTTGGACTTTATTGTAAATTAATTTTGAATCGCTTGACTCCATCTTTTACTTGGCACTTTGTAGGAGTCCACTGAATGAGGATGTTTTTGCTACCAGAATAAAAAAGATGAACAGTAATGACAAAGACGTAACAGAATTACAAGAACAAATTCACAAACTTCTCTTACAGGTAAAGTGAGATTTTAAAAAGCAAACACAAGATATCCATAATTGTGTTTTATGTTAACAATCGATCTTCATAAAGCCACCTCCCAAAAATACAATGCGAGGAGACAGAAATCTGTATCCTCGAGTTCCAGGGAGTTCTGTCTTCCTGTTCTTGTTTTTAAATTCAGTGTCATTAATCTTGCTTTCCTTTTCCTGAGTGGATGCACAGAACATTCTTGTAAGATCCCACTCTAGGAGGGCAGAGCGGGTCCCAGTGAGCAGGTCGGGCAGGGAGCTGGTTCCCAACGAGAGCATCCTCCTCGTGTTCCAGACCCTGCCCAGGCGCCCAGTATCTTAAAGGTGGGGGCAGAGGGATGGCAGCTCTCGGTGTCCGGCGGCCGAAACCCTCTGCGGGGACAAATGCCAGAAACGATTCCTTGATCGCGCTGGTGAGCGGGTACAGGCCAGAGCGTTCGCCGAGGGCCCGCAGGGAGCAGCCCGGCGGCTCCATCTCCCTCCACAGCCGCTGCAGGTCCACGGTGGCGGCCACCGAACGCGCAGGCTGTGTATCTGACTTCTCGTCCCTCCTCAACGCCTCATGGAGTGCCGGAGTCCCCCGTGCTGTTCTGGAAGCGCCCGCCCAGGCGAGGCACCGAGCCCTGCCTGAGTTACTGAGGAGGGAGGGCAGGGCCCTGCCGGCGGCCACGCGGAGGCGAGGCGTGTGCCTCAGGATCTCTCGGAGGTTCGCGTCCACGCCTACGCCGGGCGACCGCGCGGGGGCCCTGAGGTGCGCGCCGAGCCTCTCCTCGGGGGCCGCGTCCACAGACTCTACAGCGGGGCCCCCTCCTTCCTTCAGCCCGTTCACGCCAGCGCCGCCAGCGGCTTCGGGAGCCCGGGCAGCAGCGACTCGCAGGAGCCACGCGCCAGCCTCGCGTCGTCCAGGGAGTCCGGCGGGCCGCGCGGCGAGGCCGCACGCAGGGCGCCGGTACGTGGCCGACGGCGTGTGCGTGGGCCTGCGCGCTTGCGTGTGGGCGTGCGCGTGCGTGCAGGCTCCTTCCCCTCCGCCGCGTGGTGCAGAGCGTGTGTGCAGAGCGTGTGGGCGCCGCTGCTGCACCTCGGCTCGTGGTCCTTCTTGCACGTTCGGGGACCTTACTGATTGACAGGCGACCTAATGCATTTTGGGTGGAAACCGTGCCTGTGAAATGAGAGTATGACCTGTGGACGGCGAGGTCTGGGTTCGTGGCGCGCGCTCCTAGTTAGCGGCCAACGAACACTTGTACTAACGCAGCATTTGTGCCTGACCTTGTCGCAGCGCCTTCAGTCTTCAGAGAACCGGAGGTTAAATGTGTTTTATCTTCAATATGTTGATTTCGTCTGTTGTTTACCTATCTTTTAGTTAATCTTACAGTTTTGAAACGTATCCTATCACTTTTTTCCCTAAGACGGCCTTGCAGCAGGTCTGCGCCAGCGTAAACAAGATGAAGAAACTGGGTCCCCAGCTGCACATTGAGTCAGTGGCCCCGTCACCAGATAAACACGTGATGGGGACACACCCAGCGCGGCCTGGCGGTAAGTCAGCAGGGCAGCCCCAACCTCCCCCCCTGGTTCTGCCTCTTCCCCGTTGCTGCCACCTTTCACATTTACCAGCTCGGATGATGACAGTAATAATGCTAATGGTAGCAGCAAATACTGCGCTGGAAGCCAGATGATATTAGGGTGTAATCTCTGTACATTTCCGTCGAGGAAATTAATGTTTTCGATAATACCAACAGATGCATAGATCCTCCCATACGAGGCATTTGTCAATCAAGAGTTGATTTTAGAATAAGTGACATAATCCTTCCTGTCACTTAAATGAAAAATATGTATATCCTAAATTGAATGAAAAAACTGGGGACTTTCTTTTTGATACATGTTTACTTTTCTCAAATAGGAGGTAAGGAAGAGCATTCCATAGGAATTGGATCACTTAGGACAATTGGCATTATTTAGAAAAGTCAATCTACTGGCCTTAAATAGCAGAGGAAAGGTCTATAATATAGAGATGAAATTATATTAACTTTTTGGTTTAGCTACCTTTCCTTCGATTTGTTTTTCTGAATGTTAATATGACTTTGGAAGTCTTTACAGGTTTGGTACCCTGGATGTTATTAATGGTTTCTGTCATTGTGAAATGTGGGTGTTTTACACAGTAGGGGTGAAATTTCTTCTCTAAGGTCAATAAAAAAATTTTTTTTCTTAAAAATAGCTACACTTTTCAGGGCTAGCCATGATTTATAAAACAAAAATATCTACATACTACTCCTACAGGTGATATCACAGGCTAGGCTCCCCTCCTGATAGAGCACATCCTGTCCTTCCTTGAGTTTTTCTTGTCTCCTTAGTAGGAGGTTTAACGTTCTGTGTGTTTCTTTTGTGATAGAAGGGCACAAGATAGAAACAACACCTTTTTTTTTTTTTTTGGTCCCTTGAAGCCATCAGATTCCTTCATTGCAAAATAATTTGAGTATCTTCCTTGAGTATCATTATCCCATATCCTAGCATTAGAACTTCTTTAGCAAGGTATGAAGCCTAAAATTTCTAAATGTCTTTTTTTTTAATTGTCTGGTCCACCTTGTACTGCTCACTGCTGCTTGGGCCTTAGACCTCATGTTAGGGCCATGATTTTATATCCTGATCTCTGTATTTCTTGCCAGAGTACAAATTCTTTCTCACGTTCTGCTTTGTTCCATTTTTTTTATCATCTGCCATTGGTCTGGATTGCCATCAGTACCATGGTTCAAAGGCTATATTTTAAAACAGACATCAATATTCTGTCATTCATCATTTTATAAAATTCAGCCTATAACTAATTCTGTATATTTATGATGGTAGTCTGGAAATTAACATTATCCTACTAAGATATGTGCTCTATTTGACTCTCAAACACATAGGATGTGACTTTTGGGAAAGGGAAAATCTGCTGCCATTTTGATATTGCTTGAGGGGACATAATGTAACTTAGGCATCCAGATTTTATTAACATCTTAAGACCTACAAGTTTAAAGAGCTAGCAAAAAATCTTTATTACTTCCTACTCAAAGGAAACTAGTATGCAACTTAAAGATAGAAATGTTATAGTGTAAATATTAGAAATAGCACCAATCAAAAGCAAAATACTAAGTAATCACTATATACATGTTTTATATACAGGGTACCAGAGCCAACAGGAGCATAAGGTTTTAAGTTTATATTTTTACCTTTCTTATGAGGGCAGGTTAGGCCTTGAAATAGAGTAATAAGGAAAATTTTAGAAATGAATATGGAAAGGCAAGGAGTAACAAAGATATAAAGCCCCTTCATCAGCTACAAATACCGGTGCCAGCTGCCAGAAGCAGTTGGGAACTTAGAAAAAATCGACTGTTCCACTCCTGCGGTGGCAGCACCTGAGGGAGAAACATTGATCCATGAACTGAACTTATTTAGGGTGAGCGTGCTTTGGTTTGTGTTCAGGGAGAAGTAGAAGGAGCATCATTCCAAACTGACAAGGAAAAAAGCCATGTGGCAGTGGATTCATGAGCTTTCTTGGACCTATCAGAGCACTGCAGTTATAGGGCAGCCAGCAGGTTTAAAATCTAAGGGGGATACATGCTTGCAGGGAGATGTGAGATCAAGCCCTGGATACTGGTGCACTGACTGATGGAATCAGTACTTGCAAGAGGCAGGCCTCTGAGGCACAGTGCAGAGGGAAGACTAGAGGCTACAAGTGGAGCAAATACTGAAAAAAAAAAACAAAAAAACAAACAAACAAACAAAAACTCTCTAGCACACCAGCCACCATGTAAGCACAAAGTATCACTAGAGGAATTTGAAATCTGTGATACATTGAGTGAAACCATAGCAACAACTAACCTGAGACCTGGCCAGCAAATTTGTTATGTTAACTCCAACACCACCCCAGCAGAAGGAAGGACATGCCCAGTCTCCACTGTCTTATACAAGGTGTTCTGTTTCCAACAAATTAAGAAACATACAAAAGGGGGGAAAAAAACACCTCCCAAAAGACAAAGCAGTCATCTGAACAAGAGTCAGGAGATGCCTGGATGCCTGGTGGCTCCACAGTTGAGCATCTGCATATGGCTCAAGGCGTTAGTTATCCGGAGGGGGGGGGGGGGGGGGGGGGGGGGGGGGGCGCGGGCGGGCAGGTCCGGGGTTCGGGGATTGAGTCCCGCATCAGGCTCCCTGCAGGGAAAGCTCTCCCTGCAGGGAGCCTGCTTATTCCTCTGCCTATGTCTCTGCCTCTCTCTGTGTCTCTTGTGAATTAAAAAAAAAAAAAACAAACCCACGAGTCAGATACGACAGAGATGTTGGAACTACCTGGCAGAAAATTTAAAATATCTATATATAACATGTTAAAGGCTGTAATGGACAGTAAGCAATATCCAGAACCACATGAGTAGTCACAGTGTAGAGATGGAACTTATTTTTTTTTTGGAACTTATTTTTTAAAAAAGGATCAAATGGAGATGTTAGAGGTGCACATATGCCTTTGATGGGCACTTGACACAACCAAGAAAAAAAATCCATAAACTTGAATATAGATACATAGAAATTACACAAACTGAAATACAGAGAGAAAGAAACATAGAATAGAGCTTCTAAGAATGTTGAGACACTGTCAAATGATCTATCATAAGAGTGATTGGAATCCCAGAAGAAATAGTTGAAGAAGGGACTGAGCCTGGGTGGCTCAAGGGTTGAGCATCTGCCTTTAGTTTAGGTCGTAATCTCAGGGTCCTAGGATTGAGTCCTGCATCAGGCTACCCGCGGGGAGCCTGCTTCTTCCTCTGCCTGTGTCTCTGCCTTTCTCTGTGTGTCTCTCATGAATGAACAAGTAAGTAAAAGTCCTTTTTTTAAAAAAAATACTTGAAGAAATAATCAAGAATTTCCCACAGATATGAGAAACATCAACTAGTGTGGATACAAAACAACAAACAAACCAATCACAAAATAAAAACGCCACATACATGAAAAAAAATCCACCACATACTTGGAAATATCCTATTCGAACTGCTGAAAACAAAAGCAAAAGGATATCTTGAAGGCAGCCAGAGCAACAAAGACAGGCTACATACAGAGGAACAAAGAATTACAGTAGACATTCCTTTAGACACCATGTACAGTAGAAGACTAAATGTTAAGACTAAAAACTGTTAAGAATTCTCTACCAAAGTATCTTTCAGAAATGAAGGAGATATAAAATTTTCTCAAACAAAAACTGGGAATGGGGGATGTATTGCCAGTGATCTGTTGAATGAGACACTAAGGGAATTTCTTTTTTTTAAATTTTTATTTATTTATGATAGTCACAGAGAGAGAGAGAGAGGCAGAGACACAGGCAGAGGGAGAAGCAGGCTCCATGCACCGGGAGCCCAATGTGGGATTCGATCCCGGGTCTCCAGGATTGCGCCCTGGGCCAAAGACAGGCGCCAAACTGCTGCGCCACCCAGGGATCCCCACTAAGGGAATTTCTAAAGGTGGAAGGAATTTGGTACCAGACATAAAACTTGGATTTACACAAAAAAATGAAAAGCACTAAAAACAATGAATGAAGAAATTTTATATTTTACTCAGTTTAAATTGCCCTAGAAGGTAGCTTATTAAAGCAGAAATATTCTTCTGCATTTGTAGCCTATGTAAAAAATTGCAAAGGATCAGGAGAGGCACTGGGAACGTACTGTGGAGTCCTACACCAGAAGCAATATGTAATTTGGAGGTAAAAACTGATTCCTTAAAGGTGTATGTTGTGAACCTTATAACAATAATTAGAACTAGTTTCTAAAATACAAATAATATCAGTAGAGGAGATAAAGTGGAATTTAAAATATTTAATGCAAAATGAGGCAGAAAGGAGACAAAAATCCAGATGGAACAAATGGAAAACAGCGAAGTGGCATGCTTTAACCGAGCTGTTTCAACAATCATATTAAATGTGAATGTTCTCAGTGTGCTAGCTGGAAGACTGAAATCATCAGTTGAATGAAAAAAATAAGAAGTAGCTGTATGGTATCTGCAAGAATCCATTTTGCAAATAAAACATAGATGAAGAGCAAAATGTTAGAAAAGATACACATGCTAACGGGAGTCCAAAGAAGGCTGGAGAGCTGTATTAATACCAGGTAGTGTAGACTTTAGGACGAGGAACATTATCAGGGTTTCAGAGGGATACTGTATGACAACAGAGGGGTTGATTCTCTGAGAGCATGTCCTAAAAGGTTATACACCTAACATCAAAGCTTCAAAATACTTTAAACACTGGTAAAAAATTTGAGAAATAAATCTGCAGTGGTAGAGACTGTAACACACTCTCTCTGTAATTGATAAAGCAAGTGTACAGAAAATCATTAAAGATGTAGAAGACTTAAAAAGCACTGTCAACAAGATTGGCATAATGGACATTTATGGAACACTCCAAGCAATAGCAACATGATGCTTAATTTTCTCAAGGGCACATGGACCATTCATCAAGATAGACCTTATTCTGGGCCATAATACAAGCCTTTTAACAAATTTTTAAAAATATAAATCATACCAAATATATTCTCTGACCTAATGGATTAAACTAGAAATTAGTAATAGGAAGGTTTATCTGGAGAATTCCCAAATGTTTGGAAATTAAAGAACACACCTCTGAATGACCCATAGGTCATACCTTAAGGGAATTAAAAACATTTTGAACTGAATGAATTGAAAAAGCAAAAAATTTGTGGAATACAGGTAAAGCAGTGCTTAAAGGGAAATTTATAGCATTAAGTGATACATGGGGAAAATAAAGTTCTTAAATCAATAATCTAAGTTTCCTCCTGAAGAAACAAAAGCAAGAAGAGCAAATTAAATCCAAGGTAAGCAGAAGGAAAGAAATTGTAAAAACCATATATCAATGGAATTGAGAAGTCAATAAGAGAAAATTAATGAAATCAAAAGCTGATGAAAATAAAAGTAACAAACCTTTGGCCATACTGAACAGGAAAAGAAGACAGACATACCCACTGTTGGAAATGAAAGACCCCACAGATGTTAAAGGGACTGCAAACAACTCTACTCCCAAAACTTTGGTCTATTAATAACTTGAAAGAAAGAACCTATTGGAACTCCATGAAAAAGAAACAGCTAGAATAGACATATTTATTACAGATCCTGAATTTGAAGTTTAACATCTTCCAAAAAGAAAAGTCTGGGCCCAGATGATTTCACTGAGAAACATTCAAGGAAGATATAGTTCCAGTTTCTATGTAATCTTTTTCAGAAAATAGAGGACAGGAGAAAATAGAAGGAGGAATTTTGGAAAGGAAACTCCCAGGCTCCTTTTATGAGCTCATTATTACCCTAATACTGAAACAAGATAAAGACAGTTCAGGAAAACTACAGACTGGGATCCCTTGTCAGTGTATTTGCAAATCATTAAATCCAGCAAGTACAAAAAGGACAAATACATCACAACCGAGTATGATTTATCCTAGGAATGTACAACTGGTTCAATATGTGAAAGTCAGCCACTTTTATTTACCATATTAACAGAATTTTAAAAACCCAGCAGGTTATTTTAATAGAGAAAAAGCATATGATAAATGCTCAAAAATTAGCAGTAGAAATGGGATTTCATTAATCTATCAAAAAAGGCATGCACAGAAAACTATAGCTAACATGCTTGATGGTGAGAAAATGCTATTACCCTAACCTGGAGAACAAGTTAAAGATACCTTGTCCTAACATCAGACTGGAAGTCCTGTTCAATGCAGGAGGCAAGAGAAATAAAAGACATAATGATTGAAAAGGAAGAAATAAAACTTTCTATTCATAGATGATAGAGTTTGTCTACATAGAAAAATTCTAAAGAATCTACCCCAAAAAGCTCCTACTGATTTTAGCAAGGTTAGAAGATCCATGGCCAGTGTGTAAGATCACTTAAAAGTTCTGTGTACTAACAAGGAACAATTGGAAAAAAATTTTTAAAACAACCCAAAACCAAACTACTTAGATATAAAATCCAACAATATGTGAAATAATTGATACTAAGAAAACTTCAAAACAAAGAAAAACTGTAAAATAAAAAATACTAAGTAAATGAAAAGACATCAAGTTCATGGTTTAGAATACTCAATATTGTTGTCAGTTCTCTCCAGGTTGATCTGTACATTCAGTGTCATTCCAATTAAATCCTTAGCAGGATTGTTTTTCTGTATAGATATCATCAAGCAGATCCCCTAACTTCAATGGAAAAAAAAATGAAAACAGCCAAAGCAATTTTGAAAAAATAATTTGTGAAAAAATAGATCAATGGACAGATTAGAGAGTCCCAAAACAGGCCTACACAAATATAGTCAGTTTTTGACAGAGGTGCAAGGTCAAGTCAATGCACAAAGCGTAGCCTTTCCAAAAAAAATGGTGCTGTACAATGAGACATCCACATATGTTAAAAAATGTACCTCAACATATAGCTCATATGTCATATAAAAGCTAGCTCAAAATTGATTACAGATCTAAATATAAAACTTAAAACTGTGGGACACCCGGGTGGCTCAGCAGTTGAGAATCTGCCTTTGGCTCAGGGCGTGATCCTGGAGTTCTGGGATCAAGTCCCATATTGGGCTTCCTGAGGGAAGCCTGCTGCTCCCTCTGCCTGTGTTGTGTCTCTGCCTCTCTCTCTGTGTTTCTCATGATTAAATAAATACAATCTTTTAAAAAAAAAAAAACCTTAAAACAAACCAATAGAAAATTTAGGAGAAAACCTTTGTGATCTTGTGTTTGGCAAAAAGGTTTTAGATATGACATCAAAAGCATGATGGATAGGGATCCCTGGGTGGCGCAGTGGTTTGGCGCCTGCCTTTGGCCCAGGGCGTGATCCTGGAGACCTGGGATCGAATCCCACATCGGGCTCCCGGTGCATGGAGCCCACTTCTCCCTCTGCCTGTGTCTCTGCCCTTCTCTCTCTCTCTCTGTGACTATCATAAATAAATAAAAATTTAAAAAAAAAGCATGATGGATAAAAAAATTGATGAGATAGACTATCAAAATTAAAAACTTGTCAGACGGTAAGACAATGAAAAGACAATTTTTGCAAATTATAGATACAATAAAAAATTTGTATCCAGGTTACATAATAAAACTGTCAAAATTCAATAATGTAATCTATTCAAAAAACTGTCAAGAGATCTGACACGTTTCCAGTGAAGCACAAATGGCAAATAGCATGGGAAATAATGCTGTCTCAGCCCTTATGAAGTTAAAACCACATGAGATACCATTATATACCCATTAGAATGGCTAAAACTAAAAGAAAAAATACTGACAATACCAAGTTCTGGCAAGAATGCAGAGCAACCGGAGCTCTCAGTACTGAAGGCAGTATGGAATTGTACAGCCACATTAGAAAAGTTTTACAGTTTTTTTTTAAAGATTTTATCTATTTATTTTTGAGGCACAGAGAGAGAGAGACACAGTCAGAGGGAGAAGCAGGCTCCACGCAGGGAGCCTGACGTGGGACTTGATCCCGGGTCTCCAGGATCACGCCCTGAGCCGAAGGCGGGCACTAAACCGCTGAGCCACCCGGGCTGCCCAAGTTTTACAGTTTTGTGTAAAACATACTGTATAACTCAGAGACTCTGTTCTTATTTACTCAAGCAAAAGAAAAACTCAAATTCACATCTAAACTTGTCTTTGTATATTTATCACACATCTTTTATACTTATCCAAAATTGGAAACAACCTAGATGTCATTCAACAGGTGAGTGGAGATGTATAGCCAATTTTTAACCATTTTTAAATGTACAGTTTGGTGGCATTAGGCCCATTCACCAGTAGGAGAAAATGTAAGAGAAATAGATATTTGAATGGTCTCAAAGTATTCCTTCGAAACCTTTATTGTTTATATTATGCTTTACGAATAAAATCGTCACTTTACATGGAAAAAATCGGGCAGACAGCAACTTAACCAATGATCAAGGCTGACACACCAACAGTAAACACATCAAGATCATGTACCCCTGGTGTGAGGCCTTGAGAAAGGCACAGCACCTCTGCAAGAATCTTCCACAAGATGCACACCCTCAACCTCATCATGATGGAACATCAGGGAAACTCAAGTTGAGCATTCCTACAGAATTCCTGTCCTGTACTCTTCACAAGAGTTGATGTTGGGAAAGACCAGGAAAGACAGAGACACTGACAGCTGAAATCAACCATGAGATCCCTGGTTGGATCCTGGGGCAGAAAATGACCTTTCACGGAGGAGTGGATAAGATCCGCATAGGCCATGCACCACTGTGCGTTTCTTAGTGTTGTTCAGTCTGTTACAGTTCTGTAGGATGTTATGTTAGCGGAAGCAGTGAGGAGCGTATACAGAAACTCCACTGTTTCTTTAACCCCCTTCAAGATTCAGATTATTTAGAAATAAAAGTATAAGAGCTCCTGGCTGGCTCAGTAGAGCTTCCAACTCCCGCTCTCAGGGTCATAAATTCAAGCTCCACGTTGGGTGTAGAGATTACTTGCAAAAATGAAATCTTAAAAGTTTTTAAGTGTAAAAGTTACTGAGTGAAAGTTAAGCAGGTCTTTTTCCATAATCCCCTCTGGAAATGGAGCATAGTCATCCAGGAAGCTAAGATGACCTTCACTGATAACAGCAGTAGCTAAGTCAGCCTCCCAGCAGGGTTTGAAATAACTGGTTCCTTGCGCCACTTTTACGTCTTGGTTTCCAGAACGCCACATTGACAGGCTCCATGCACTTTCTCAGACTCCATTCTTGGCTCATCGTTCTCCACACAAGGTTTAATTCGTCAGTGCCCCAACCTGAAGCCTGTACCTCTGCCATCCAGTGTGGCAACCACTGGCCACGATCTAGATTCAAATAAGTCACAAATAATAAAATTTAAAATTTAGTTCCTCAGTTGCTGTAGCCACACTGCACGTGCTTAATCACTCCCTGCACGTGTGGTGTTGGTGGCTACCGTGCTGGACAGCACAGACTAAGAGCAGTTCTATCACTGCAGAAAGTTTTGTTGGGCACAGGTCTGCAGTGCAGTGCCTGGCACTTCACACTGTATCTACTCACCCCACTCCCAGGGATGCCAAGATTGGTCAGTTGCCAGGTAGTGTCAGCTCACTATCGTAAAGTCCCCATCAGCCTTTCACCTGATAGTTTTATTATTAGTCTTTACCTAGAACATTTGTTTTCATTCCTTTTTTGTAAGATACAAAAAACCAAATGTAATCATTCGTGTAGTCATTCCATGTCGATGTTTTTCGGTATTGGTGCATATTTTATATATATCTGAACTCGTCTTTAATAGCTATTTAATATTCTGTCAAATGGATACATGCTAAAGGACCTGATCTCTTTTTATTGGATAAGTTCTTAGGTATGTGTGATATTTTTAATTACACATCCGTTCATTCTGTTTCAGGTGAGCAGAAGGCCTCTTCTCCCTTACAGACATTGAAAAACAACAGCGTGCACATGGAGTCTTGTGAAGGTTGGAGAAAAGACCAGCATAGCCCATCCTATCAGCAAATAAACTGCATTGACAGTGTTATCAGGTGTGAGACACAAGTTCTGAGAACACGTCAGTTTTTCCAAAAGTATACATCGTCATTATAAGCACACAACCTACATCATTTTTAATATTGGTTGTCTGAATTTTTCACTCCAAGTCAGTAGATACTATGGAGTGCCTACTTACATTATAGTTTATAATAAATTGAACATTTTAGAGGAGGCAAAAAAAAATTAGAAGATGGATCCCTTCTTAGAAGGAGCCATGGTTTGGTTGAGAAGATAAGATCTTGATCATAAAAATTAAATGAGGCAAGATTTGGAGATCAAGGTTTCAGTAAAAGAGATAGGCCAATGATTGAGGCTGGGATGGTCAAAGATGAGAGTACAAAGTACCCACACAGAAGTGCTGCGAGAAAAGCAGAAATGTGGATTGTGCAGAGTGAGAGGACAGGCAGGCATGCATGAACTAATACGTTGTTGCAGATACCTGAAGAGCTACAACATTCCAGCTTTGAAAAGAAAGTGCATATCCTGTACCAATACAACCTCTTCATCCTCAGAAGAAGACGGACAGAACCACAAGGCACATCATGCCCAAGCCTTGCAAGGTAACACGAATGCCCTCCTAGGTAGACAGAGGATGATTGCAAAGCCATCCTTTTCTGTTTCTTTTTAAATTTTTGTCTTATTTCATTAATCATAAAAAGCCTAGTTTCATATCATTCCTTTGTGACCAGTAGGTTTTAGCTCAACAGTTTCTAACATCTGCAAACTGGGTCTTTAACATAAATTTCTTTGGGGATTTTTCTTTTCATTGTCAATGTCTCTTGTGCCCCCAGCTGTGTCTCAGCTCCCAGCCATAGCTAACTTGGAGATACGGACTGCCTGGCAGTCCACACATGCTACAGAAGGCGCTCCAAGGACCCTGGCCCCAACGGCGCTGAGCCTGGGCTCTGGCATGAGCCAGTGCAGCTACAGCAGCACCATGGTTCTTGCTCCACCACCAGAGTCAGGTGCCACATTTACCTTCTCCTCTAACATACGCTGGGCATGAGACACACTACTATGAGAAAACAGAAGTCCTTCATACCAGTTACTTAGCAGTGACTTCTAAATTATAATTACATTTTCCTTTCTTTGATTTCAGTGAAAACATTTTTGGAAAAATCACCATGATTATATCGATTATATAGTTTGGACTGTATTTCTAAGTCATTGTCATTTGTTGTTACATCAGCCGAAGTGTAGGAAGCACTTAGAATGATACCTGATAACATAGTACCTGATAACATAGCATAGTTAGCATTAACTGTCACTAATGAAGTCTTTTTGGGGGGCTGTATTAAGACACTTTGTTGCTGCCCTTGAAAGAAGGTGTCCTTGTCAAGCTTTGACTGTGGCTATGACTAGATTGACCATATATATGTCCAGATTTTTGTATTGTATTGGCCTGATGACAATGAAGAGAATGTGTGTAAAACTCCCTTCCTTTTAACAATATATATCTGGTAAATTATTCTGATGTCTTCCTTTTGTTCCTTTTTACTGCTTCCTATCCTTTGATTTTTGTCCTTGTAATTTGTAATTTGGTGGAAAAGAACTGGGGACAAAGGTATTAAATCTGGTTTTGGGGCTCTTATTTCTCTTTGCTGGGCATCAGTGGCATATTTATAAACATGTATTGAGCTCTTACTCTGTGCCACCCTCTGTCCTTAGTCATTCATGGGAATTAACTCATTTAATCCTCACACTGACCCTGGGAGATGGAGAGTATTATATAGTATAGTACTGACAGGCAGGCTGCGTTGATAGGAAGATACCAGAGACACAGCCATTGTGCGATTAGATTATGTTTTTATATTTTTTTAAGATTATGTTTTTAATGAACTGAAAATAGAGTTTTATCATAGCTGAACTAGTTTCTCAGGAAGGAGCAGATGCATATTTTTTAGTGTATCTTTTCTTAATACTTTTGATTCCAATATGGGCATACAGCTGCCAGTAACTCAGCCCACACAAGGTGGGTCTCATCCAGTGGGGAAAGATTTTTTTTATTATGCCACTGAACTTTTTGTACTCTGGTATATATTACCATTTTGAAGGATTTCATACTGAAGTCTCTGAGCTTTCATTTAAGGGAATATTTATAATAATTATTTCTACTGATCTTAAACCAGTCTCAGCCTGTGTGGGGCCATGTCTTTATTCCAAGGACAGGAAACAGAATCAGGGGATCTGTAGAGTATCTATGTGTCTTTTGTTTTCTGGAAAGCCTGTATTTCTGCAGCTTATACTGTAACTCCTCCAATGAGTTGGATCTGAGGACCATGACCACAAACGCATTTCCCTGCCAGTCATGGAGCAGTTAAGGTACAAACAGATTAAGTTCCTTAATCCTTATGTGCCCAAAGTCACATAGCAGATGAGTGGCAGAGTAGGGAATCAGACATTAGTAACTAATCTTCAGAAACCATTGCCATTAACACATTTTTAAATCTGTAGTAGGGTCAAAATGGAGTGTGAAATAAAGCCAGGAGATAAAATGTAATTTTAAGAAATACTCAAATAATCCTAGGGCATCCGGGTGGCTGTAGATTAAGCATCTGAGTCTTGATTAAGCATCTAACTCTTGGTTTAGGCTCAGGTCATAATCTCAGGGTCATAGGATTGAGCTCTGTGCTGGTATGGGTATGTGCTCTATTTCCCCCACACACACACACTTGAGCAACACAAACTCTCTCTCACACACACAAAAAACGATCATAATAAACACCAATAATCCAAAAGAAGAGCAGAAAGGGAGGAAGAGAACAACAGCTGCCACTACCAGAGGCAACATGTCAGACTAATAATAATCACTCTAAACCCAATTATATTCACTCCATTAAAAGGCAGGAATTGTCAGAACAGATTAAAAAATCAAGACCCATCCATATACTGCCTGAGAAGTACAGTTTAAATATAAATCCACAAATGGATTGAGAACAAATGGAGAAAGAGGCACAATGCAAATGATAAGCCTAAGAAGGGTGGCATGCCAGTAGTGATTCAGACTTGAAGATAGGGTCTTCTCAGAGATGCTTTGGGGTGGCAAACAGTTCATCAAGGAGACACAGCAATCATAATACGTCATGCATATTCCTAACAGAGCTTCCAAGATAGGAGGTAAAAATGGAAAGAGTTACAGAGAGATAGACTTTCCATAACCATAGTTGAAGAGTGTAACACCCCATCTGTGCAGATGATAAAATATCTAGACAAAAAAAATGAGTAAGGCAGATGATCTGAGCAGTGCTATCAACCACCTTAACCTAGTTGACATTCAGAGAACACAGCACCCAATACCTGTAACAATACGCATTCTTCTCAAGCATATATGGTACGTTCGTTGAGATATAAACTATGTTGGGTTGTAACATGTCTCACATTGAAAATCATTCAATTAGGAACCAGTGAAGCCATCGTGAGTTAGAGTTTTCCTGGCTAAGTATTTAACTACAGATTCGGTTTCTCTCATAGATACAGGGCTGTTCAGGTTTTCTGCTTGTTGAGTGAACTTTGTGTCTTTCAAAGAATTGGTGTATTTTATGTTGTCAGGTTTATTGGAATAAAAGTGTTTATGACACTCCTTTATTCTCCCCTTGACCCTTGTACAATCTCTAATGACACTCCTTTTTCTTTCTGAGTTGGCAGCATTCTGAGATTAGCACCTTTTGTCTGTCTCCTCTCTTTCTCCTCATCAGTCTGACTGGAGTTTGGTCAGTTTGCTTGGTCTTCTCAAAGCACCGGCTTATGCTTGCACTGGCTTTGTGCATTGTCTTCCTGTTTTCTACGTCACTGACTTCTGCTCTGGTCTTTGTTATTTCCTCTTTGGCTTGCTTTGATTTTATCTTGCTCTTCTCTGAAGAGTTTTTCAACATGGAAGCTGAGGTAGTTGATTTCAGACATTTTTCTTTCCTAATGGATTTTACTACAAATTTTCTTTTTACCTGCAAATTTTCTTTTTAGCTGCATCCCACGCTTTTTGATGGACTGTGCCCTTTACATCGTGTTCCAATACTGACTTCTGTCCCCTAGCTATCTCCTTTGAAATCATTCATGGTCACATGTCTCTGTGTTCGTCATCGCACATTAGTCCAGTACCACATATTTGGGTTTTTCCACAGCTCTTTCTGTTACTGATTTTTAATTTAATCCCATCATGGTAAGAGAAAATACAGAACTCAAATTCTCTATTTGTCAAGAACCAAAGAGTTTTACAGTCTGTGATATGGTCTCTGTGGATGACTGTTCTGTGTTTACTCTGCTGCTGTAGGTTTGAATGTTCTCGGTGTAAACCAGGTCAAGGTGTTTGATACTTTTGTTCAGGTCCTGTCACTCCTTAATAGCTTTCTCAGTACTTGTTCTGCTTCAGGAGGAGAACTGAAATCTCTGACCATAATTGTGGATTTGTCTATTTCTAAAGCCAGTATTACTGGTTTTTTCTTCATGCATTTTGAAAGTACTCCTGTTTTGTGCATAAGTGTTTAGAATTGTCATGTCCTCTTGATGTAGCAGCCATTTTTGCCTTGGGAAATGATCTTCCTTTTTCCCTCGTATATTCTCTGCTCTGAAATACACTTCGTCTTGTATTAATATATTCACTTCAGCATTTTTTTTTATTGGTACTAGCCTGTTTTATCTTTTCAGCCTTTTTACTTTTAACCTGGGTATGTTAGTATTTAGAGTGGGCTTTATTGTCGTGGATGCTTTGGGGCTCATGGTATACATGTTTAATTTCCCACATTCCACCTTTTGGAAATATTATACCACTTCATATATTGTGTGAAAAAACAACAATAGGGTATTTCTGCCTCCTCCTCCGGGCCTTTGTCTGTTGGCTTATGTTTTCCTTCTACATATGTTGTAAATCGTACCCTATACTGTTCTTCTCATGTAGGTAGTGGTTATCTCTTCAGCTAGTTACCTATGTAGTTACCTCTTCCAGTGCTTTCATTTCATCATGTAGACTCATCGGGATCATTCTCCTTCTCCCTGCATGAGTTCCTTGACTATTTCTTGTCGTATAGGTCAACTGGTGGTGAAGCCTTTCTGGTTTTGTGTGTCTGGACTACACCTACCTTTACAAAAAACCTTCATGTTGTAAAGGTATTTTGGCAGAGGATAGAATTCTGGGTGGCAGTCTCATCTTTCAGTACTTTAGAGATGTTGCTCTGCCATCTTCTCAGTGCACTGTTTCTGATGAGAAATCCACTGCCATCCTTGATTTGTTTGCAGCCCAGCTTCTCTCCAGCAGCTTGGGGAATGTTCTCTTTAGCATCCTCCATGATGCACTGGTGTGTACACCAGAATGTTCTCTGGCTGTGTGGAGCCCGCTCTATGCAGCTGCCCTCCCTGGTACTCTTCCCTGAAAACTCTAGCCACCGACCAGACTCTCAGCTCTGCCTCTTCAGCTCTGGGGGCTCACAGGCTCCACCTCGTTTGCTGCACCTCAGAAACTCTCAAGGCAGTAGGCTGGGACAGCCTCAGGGCTCACTTCATTTGTCTTCCCTCCCCCAGGGGTCACTCTCCTTCGTTCACTGATGTTTGGTGTCTTGGAACTTACTGGTTCATATGTTTGGTCCATTTTCTTAGTTGGTTCAGGCAGGAAGGTAAATCCAGTTTCTATTACTCCATCTCAGCTGTGCTGTGTTGATTTAGAGGAATCAGAGCCTACTTCTGGAAGTGGAGTTGGGCCAGGCACACCCACGCTGCCTGGATACTGCGCAGACTGAGAGGTGGAATGGGTCTTGGGGGGAAGCCTGCCACCATGTCCACCATGAAATCTTTTGTACTGGGGAGAAGTAATGTTCAGAAGCAACTCAAAGTCTGTCTGCAGGTGTATCCACATAAAATGGAAGGCTGTGATATATAAAAAGTATAAGATAGTGATCGCTGTGCTGGTAAAAAGGATATTGTTAAATGAAAAAATATGCTGTACATAGTGTACTTATTACATGCCTCTGGGGTAAAAATCTGTATTCATGCCTATTTATAGGTACATAAAGAAACGGGACTGTAGATAAGGAAATAGGAGAAAATAAAGAACTAGGCACATAGTAGGAGTGGGAAGAATTTACTGCCTGCCTTTTCATTGTTGATTTTTGAACCACATGAATTTTATTACCAATTTGTAAAATTAATTCAAAGATAAAGTTTTTGAAGAATCTAGGATAAAATATTTACAATAAGATTTTAATAAATATGTATATGCACACTGAGTATTACAACTCTCTAAAATGTATATAGCAGGTATACAAAGAGTATAAAGAAAGAAAAAAATACCAATTTATTTGCTAGCTTGATGAAGTTTTTTATATTCCAGTTGATGTAATAATGGTTGTAAGAATTTATTGAAAATCAGTTAAATTAGTGAAAAGAAATAAATGCAAATCATTGGTAGCAATTACAATGAAGTCTGTCCCCTTCTACCTCAGCAGAAGTGACTCCAGCAGAAGATGCTGCCCCAGTGTGTGAGCCCTGGACCCTGAGCACAAGCCCAGCTCCACTGACCTCAGAGGAATTTAAACACATAGGGCTCACAAAGACTGTCCTGTCAGCCCACACCCAGAAGGAGGAACAGAACTATGTTGATAAATTCCGGGAAAAGATCCTCTTATCGCCCTACAGATCCTGTCTTCGGCAAGAAAGCAGAAGCAGAGCTAAACATTTGTATGTTCAAGGTGATTACGTTTTAAAAACTATTTCCCTTATCAGTTTTTATAAATAGTGTAAGTAAATACTGGGAGATACGGAGTAAAGAGTTGGGGATTTGCTTTTAAGAAACTGAGAGATGCTGACATAAACTCAAAGCAACAATTTGTTATGTGGGATCTTTCTTAGATACTGGATCTGAGAAGCTGATTTTATAAGAAAGTGATTGAGAGGTACTGAATAAGTTTATTTTATGGCAACAGCTTTTATCCAGGATCTTGTTCATGTTTTCAGTAGCAGTGTTAGTGGACATAGTTACTGTTGACAAGTGTTTCTTCCTAATCTACTTAGAATTACCTGTAAGTGGCATTCTGTCATCTTTTTTGGTTTTAGTTTCCCACAATATGCCTCCCTCTGTATGCTTTCAGGAGATTGTGCTGGCAAGCAGACCCGATCCACTGGCTGCAAGAAGGGGAAGCGCAAGCAGAAGAAGCTGCCAGTGCTGTCGGACAGCAGAGGCACTCAGGATACCTTCTGTCCCCACTTTGGAGGAGAGAGTGAGTCCAGGCAGCCCTGGGGCCCTGCCCTCTCCTCCTGTCCGCAGGCCCCTGGCCTGTCATTCCCAGCTGCCATGATGGTTCCAAGCCTGGCTCCCTACTTTGTCCCAGCCCTCCAGATCCCAGCCCTGCCCTCTGTCCAAAGAGAGCCTGGAGCATCACTGACCACACTCGACTGTCTGCTTAAACCACCTTTACTGAATGGCCTGCACTCTTTTCCTGCTCTCCCTTCTCCTTCCTCAGATACTGTGATGACCATTTTCCTGCCTGACCCCACTGGCTGTCCCCTGTTGCCACCATCATTCTGTCCTTATGCATTCCTGGGAGCAGCAGGCTCTTCTGGAACACCACCCTTCATATCAGCAGTGGCTCCACACCTGGAGCAGCCGTCCTCAGTCCTCAGCCAAAGGCAGGTGGAGGGAAGACGGGAGACGCCACATGGAGAGCACCACTGCATTAACTCGAGGAGCAGCTCACTTCTACAGCTCAACTTACTGCAGGAAGACATGCTCAGATCCTGTGAATCTTCAGATCAGGTGAGAGGGGGTATTTGCCAGAAGTTAAGTATGGAAGTGACACTAACCTCCAGCACATGAGCGAGAACATAAATGTGGGTCCTCATTAAAATTAAGGTTCTTTCACTAGGGCTCAACACTGAAGACTTAGTGGGTAATGGACATCACAGCTGGGCTTGATACAGCTCTGTTTTCCAGAAATATGCACTGTCTCTATCTGGCTCCATTGTAAAAGCAAGAATTAAAGAATTTATTATGTCCTGGTTTCTTACTTTGTGAGGTTTTCTCCCCAAAGTACTATCTTTCGCATTTTCTATGTGCACTGGGTTCCCCACCTTTAAAATTTGATATCCAGGGGCACCTGGGTGACTGAGTCGGTTAAGCATACAACTCATGATTTCAGCTCAGGTCATGATCTCAGAGTTGTAAGATTAAACCCCATGTTAGGCTCTGCACTGGGCATGGAGTCGGCTTGAGATCTCTCTGCCGCTCCCCCAGCTCATGCACACACATGCTCTCTCTCTCTAAAATAAAAAAAGAAAATCATTTTTAAAAATTTAGTATCTAGTTATTAAATGTAACATATCCATTGCCTATAAAATGTATTTTCTTTCTTACAACTGGGATTATGGTTTGGTAAGACAGGAGAAAACCATACTCATAGGACCTGAATTGAGTGAGTGCACTCTTGTAGGCATGGTTGAAGGCCAGTAGGTATGTACAGAGGGAGGAAGAGCCACTTCTGGTCATTGCTTCTCAATAAAGTGGGCAGTAAAGTACGCACATTTTTAAAACCAAAAATGGCGGTCATTTTCCTTTAATTTTTCATCTCTTTACCTAAAAAAAAAATTCTCAGATGTATTTATCCAGTTGAACTTTGCAATATGATATTCCTATATTTAGGTATAGGATTCAAGACAAGTGTGAATCTATATAGTTTTTCTTCAGTTTTCTCTTTAAGGCATAATAATACCCTTTTTTGACAAAGGTTCAAAATCTGATGATCCAAGTCAAGAAAATATGCTCAAATTTGAAAGGCTGATATTAGGGCACTTGCTTGAAGGGTAGTGCAAGGTGGTGTATTCCAGTGAGCAAAGCCAGGCTGTAGAATAATACACATGTTCAAAGGCTCTGTCCCTTGTTCAGCCTGTTTGCTGAACCAAGTTAGTCAGCCTTCCTTATTTGTTCCTTATGTGAAAAATGAAGAGATTAATCTTCGATGGCTTTTTCTGAGGAGTATATGAAGTAATATTCCTATAGTCCTTCTTCCCATGCAATATAAGCTCAAAATAGCTGTAACTTTGTGTTCGCTATTATATTCCTAGTTTTGGGAATAGTGCTTAAAACATAAAAAACATTCAGTATATGTTTTTGGAATGACTCAACAACAACAAAATACAACCGTAGTACCTGGTATGTAGTAGGTGCTCAAAAACCAGCAGTATCTTTAGTATTACACAGAAAGGTCAAAACTGCGTTCTTGGGGACAGGCTAAACTGTTTGACATATCTCTTATGTATGCAGTTTATCCAGTTTATTCTGTTTAATATGTGGCATCAAAGATCCACCAGTTATTGTATCATATGATGCTCAGGTTGTTAAAATCTGTTTTTGTGTCCTTACTTCCTGCAGGGTGTCTTAGGCAGGAGTGGGAGTAAGAAGAATCCTTTTACTGCCAGTGAACTGTCCATGGCATTACTTCCTGAGGAGTCTCCATTTGGAGCGGGTTCTACAGCATCAGGTAGTGGATCAAAATAAGGAATTCTTCACGCTCTGTGGCCAAGAAATCACAGGCCATTTGGTTTTGGCACTGGTGTGGAAGTATTTTTTTTCTTTTTTTTGAAAGCCTCCTTGGTGTATATTTACATACAACAGAATTTACCAGATTTGGTATACAAAATAAGAATTCTGACAAATATATACATCAATGTTACCAGCATCACAGTTATCTTATAGAGCATTTCCATCATCTGGAAAATTTCTTCTGTGATCCTTTATAATCCATTTCTGCCCTGATGCTCTGGCTCCTGGCAAGCACTGATTTGTTTTCTATCACTAATTTTATCACTTTCTAACACTAGTTTTAATTTTTCTGTAATTTAATATTAATTGATTTGTCCAGTATGCAATTTTTTGTATTAGAATTCTCTCAGTTAACACAGTGCTGCTGAGATTCATTCTTATTGTTGTGTATCAGTAGCTTGGTCCTTATTACTGAGTAGAATTAAATTGTATGGAGATCCATTCACCAGTTGATGACTATTCAGTTGCTTCCAGTTTGGAGCTATAATGAATAGTGCCACTATGAACGTTTGAGTCTGAGTCTTTTGGTGGACATGTGTTTCCATTTCTATTCAGTAAATACCTAGGAATGAGATTGCTAGGTTGTGCGGTAAGTGTATAGTTAACTTTATTTATTTTACTTTTATTAGTAAAGTCTTGTTTGTATACAATGTTATATTAGTTTCCAGTGTGCAATATCAATATCATTAACTATATTCCCAGTATTACAATATCATTGACTATATTCCCAGCGCAGTACTTTTCATCTCCATGACTTGTTTATGATTGGAAGTTTTTGCAGATCCTCCAACCCCTGCCCCTCCAGAAACCACTAGTTCTTTGTATTTATGAGTCTGTTTCTGGTTGCTTTGTTCTTTTGTTTTTTAGATTCTGCATATGAGTGAAATCATATGGTATTTGTCTTGCTCTGTCTGACTCATTTCACTTAGCATAATACCCTGTAGGTCCTCTATGCTGTCACAGATAACAGGATCTCTTCTTTTTTTAAGGCTGAGTAATACTCTAGTGTGTGTGTGCACACATGCACACATGCATGCACACACATCTCATATTTTTTTAAGGTTTTTATTTTAAGTAGAGTTAACATACAGTATTATATTAGTTTCAGGTGTGGAATATAGTGATTTAACACTTTTGTATAACACACGGTGCTCATCACAGCAAGTATACTCTTAATCCCCATCACCTAGTTCCTTCATTCCCCCCCCCCAGCTCCCCTTTGGTGACCATCAGTTTGTTCCCTGTAGGTAAGAGTTTGTTTCTTGGTTTGTCTCTCTTTGTTAGTTTCTTTTGTTTCTTTCTTTTTTTTTTTGTTTCTTTTGTTTCTTAAATTCCACGAGTGAAATCACAGGATACTTCTCTCTGATTGACTTATTTTGCTTAGCATTATACTCTCTAGCTCTATCCACATTGTCGCAAATGGCAAGATTTCATTTTTTATGGCTGCGTAATATTCCGTTATATATAAACTACCTCTTCTTTATCCTTTCATCTGTTGATGGACACTTAGATTACTTCCATATCTTGATTATTGTAAATAATGATGCTGTGAACATGGAGGTGCATATATCTTTTCAAATTAGTGTTTTGGTGGTTTTTTGAAAAGATTTTATCCATTTATCTGAGCGAGAATAAGCACACAGGAGCAGAGGGAGAGGGAGCCCAACATGAGGCTGGATCCCAGAACCCGGGATCATGACCTGAGCCAAAAGGCAGACACTTAGTCAACTGAGCCACTGAGGCGCTGCTAGCGTTTTTTGTTTTTTTTTTAAGATTTTATTTACTCTGCCTCTGTCTCATGAATGAATAAATAAAATCTTAAGAAAAAAAAGAAAAAAATAATAAAGATTTTATTTATTTATTCATGATAGACATAGAGGGAGAAAGAGGCAGAGACACAGGCAGAGGGAGAAGCAGGCTCCATGCAGGGAGCCTGATGTGGGACTTGATCCCGGGACTCCAGGATCGTGCCCTGGGCCAAAGGCAGGCACTAAACCGCTGAGCCACCCAGGGATCCCCCGTTTTTTTTTAATATAAATATCCAACATCCAATATTGGATCATATGGTCATTCTATTTTTAATTTTATGGAGGAACTTTTTCCACAGTGGTTGTACCAATTTACATTTCTAGCAACAGTACACAAGGATTCCCTTTTTCTCCACATCCTTGTCAGTACCTGTTGTTTCTTGTGTCATTGATTCTCGCCATTCTGACAGGTGTGAGGTGCCATCTCATTGTGGTTTTGATTTGCATTTCCCTGATGGTGAGTGATGTTAAGCATCTTTTCTGTGTTTGTTGGCCATCTGTATGTCTTCCTTAGAAAAATGTCTGTTCAGGTCCTCTTCCTGTTTTTTTAATCAGAATTTTTTTTTTTTTTGGTGTTGAGTTGTAGGAGTTCTTTATATATTTTGGATAGTAGTCCTTATCAAATATATTATTTGCAAATATTTTCTTGCATTCAGTAGTTTGCATTTTCATTTTTTGATGGCCTCCTTTGTTGTACACAAACTTTATTTTGATGTAGTCCTGATAGTTTATTATTGCTTCTGTTTCCCTTGCATGAGCAGACATCATTTATTTTTTCTTAAGATTTATTTATTTATTCATGAGAGACAGAGGAGAGAGGCAGAGACATAGGCAGAGGGAGAAGCAGGCTCCTTGCAGGGAACCTAATGTGGGACTCTATTCCAGACCCCAGGATCACACCCTGAGCCAGAGGCAGACAGGCGCCACCCAGGTGTCCCCAGACGTATCATTTCATATGTTGCTAAAGCCAGTGTCCAAGAGATTACCGCCTATGTTTGCTTTTAGAAGTTTTATGGTTTCATGTCTCAGATTTAGGTCTTTAATCAATTTTGAATTTCTTTTGACATGTAGTATAAGAAAGTGGTCCAATTTCGTCCTTTTGCCATGTAGCTGTCCAGTTTTCCCAACACCATTTATTGAAGAGACTGTCTATTCCCCATCGTATATTCGTGCCTCTTTTGTCATAGAGTAATTGACCATACAAACGTGGATTTATTTCTGTACTCTATACTGCTCCATTGGTCTATGTGTCAGTACTATGCTGTTTTGATTACTGTAGGTTTGTGGTATGTCTTGAAATCTGGGATCGTGATACCTCAAGTGTTCTTTATTTTAAATTTGCTTTGGGTATTTAGAGTCTTTTGTGGTTCCATACAAATTTGAGTATTATATGTTCTAGTTATATGAAAAGCACTTTTGATATTTTGGTAGCTACTGCATTGAATCTATGGATTGCTTTTGGTAATGTGGATATTTTAACTATTAATTCTTCCCATCTATGAACATGGTATATCTTTGCATTCGTTTCTGTCTTCAGTTTCTCTCATCAAGGTCTTGTAGTTTTCAGAGGCCTTTAATCTCTGGTTAAGTTTATTTCTAAATATTTTCTTGCTGTAATTATATAAGTGTGATTATTTTCTTTTTTAAAGATTTTATTAATCTATTTGAGAGTGCATGAGCAGGGGCCGAGGGAGAGGAACAAGCAGACTCCCCACTGAGCAGGGAGCCCGACACCAGGCTGGATCCCAGGACCCTGAAATCACCACCTGAGCCAAAGGCAGATGCTCAACTGACTGAGCCACCCAGGCACCCCAGTGGGATTATTTTCTTAACTTTTCTTTTTGCTACTTCATTATTAGTGTAAGAATAGAACAGATTTTTCTAGATTAATTTTGTATCTCACAACTTTACTGAATTGATTTGTTCTAATAGGCTTTTGGTAGTCTTTAAAGTTTTCTATATATAGTACCATGCCATTTGCAAACAGTGAAGTTTTACTTCTTCCTTACTGATTTGGATGCCTTTGCTTTCCTTTTCTTGTCTGATTGCTGAAGCTAGGATTTCCAGTACTATGTTGAAAAGTAATCAGAATAGGTATCTTTTTCTTGTTTTTGATTTTAGAATGAAAGCTTTCAGTTTTTCACCATTAAGCATGATGTTAGCTGTGGGTTTATGGCCTTTATTATATTGAGGTGTGTTCCCTCTAAACCCACTTTGTTGAGAGTTTTTATCATGAATTGATGCTGAATTGTGACAAATCCTTTTTCTGCAACTAATTGAGAAGGCTCATGTGGTTTTTATCCTTCATTTTGTTAGTGTGGTGTATCACATCCATTGATTTGCAGATATTGAACCATCCTTGCATTCCTGGAATAAATCCCACTCTGTCATGCTGAATGATCCTTTTAACATGTTGTTGAATTCAGTTTGCTAATATTTTGTTGAGGATTTTTGCATCTGTGTTCATCAGGGATATGGACCTGTAGTTTTCTTGTTTTGTAGTGTCTTTGGATTTGGTATCAAGGTAATACTATCCTCATAGAATGAATTTGGAAGCTTTTCTTCTTATTTTACTTTTTGGAATAGTTTGAGAAGAATAGGTATTAACTCTTTTTAAAATGTTTGGTAGAGGGATGCCTGGGTGGCTCAGCAGTTGAGCATCTGCCTTCAGCTTAGGGTGTAATCCTGGTCCTGGGATCAAGTCCCACATCAGACTTGATCCCTCTGCCTGCTTCTCCCTCTGCCCGTGTCTCTACCTCTCTCTTGTGTCTCTCATGAATAAATAAATATTTATCCTGCAAAGAGCCTGCTTCTCCCTCTGCCTGTGTCTCTACCTCTCTCTTGTGTCTCTCATGAATAAATAAATAAATAATTTTTTAAATGTTTGGTAGAATTAGGGGCTCCTGGTTGGCTCAGTCAGTGGAGCATGTGACTCTTGATCTTAAGGTCATAAGTTCAAGCCCCACACTGGGTGTAGAGATTACTTAAATAAATAGGACTTAAAATTTTTTTTAATGAATATTTGGTAGAATTCACCTGTGAAGCCATCTGGTTCTGAGCTTTTGTTGGTTGACAGTTTTTTGATTACTGATTCAGTTTCATTACAAGTAATCAGTCTGTTCAGATTTTT